TTCACCGCTTTTTCACCGGCGAGAGTCACCGTTGCCTCGGGAAACAAGGAGATAACAAGAGGAAGAAATTGACCTCTTAATCTAAAATTGAGATAAGCGATCAAAGTATAATACGGGAAGGGTTCACAAGGGTCGCGCGGGCATATTCCATTCAGCACGCCAGCCGGTCGTGGGCAGACGGTCGCCGAGTCGCGGAGTGCCTGCTAGGCCTAACTGCCGTGCTCGCTTGGTCGCGTTCGGTGGAATCGTGGCCGTTGGAGCTTTTACCGGGTGTTTGTGGATCCATCGTTCTTGTTCGTCGTGGTCTGTTTCAAGTACTTTTTACATTTTTCTTGCTGCTTGAAGTGGGACGCGTGAGAAGCGCACGTAGAAAGATAAACGTCCGTGGGTCGCGACGGCGACGCTGTCGGCCATGCTGATTTGATCGTAAGAAGTGCGTAAGACAGCTTCGGAGCAGTCGTAGGATTTCGTCGGAACCTGTGCAAAACTTACGAAAATTTCGTTTCGTGAATACGAATTTGTTCTTAAGTTTTGTCTTACGCATATTTTTGGCGTAAGATCGTTTTGTGATCCTGGCCTCTGGCCTCTGCGCTTCCGAAAGTCGCAGGAAAGGTAAGACAGACGCAAACGACGTTGCGAGCAGACGACGTTCCAAAGGAGCAGACGACGCTCGGATAGGGGGTCGCGATCAGCCAATCAGGGCTCGGCGTTCTGACGTCACCGCTACCCCCCTGCGCAAGAAGCAGACGAACTTGCCCTCCGCATACAAGCACTGCGGAAAGCGATAATCATTCTTGCCGGGGACGGACGCGCATGTGCCGTTGCGCTTCTCCCCTTGATGGCAAAATATTGGGAGCGAAAATTGCTCTCCTAAAGTTGAAAAATAACTATTGTAATTATTTGCAAATCATACTGTGCAATGCAAAAAAGTTGTTCTCGAAAGCTTTTTTTTTTTTTGGTGAACACGGCCACACAAGGCAAAGACCCTGCAATTCACAAAGGTTGAAAAAATAACATAAGGTTCTAATTTTATGCAAGCGCATGTTAGTATAAGAGTAAGTATCGTCAGGAAACAATAAGCCGGAAAATATTTACTGTTTCTTATTTCCCTTTCATGCATTGGGATCTGCTGCAGTCGATTTTTATATTTTCGACTTAGACACTAATGTCTAAGTTGTATGTCTTAGACAGTACGTCTAAGACATACAACTTGGTCTTACAACTTAGACATACAACCGCAATAAAATATTTGCCATTACAATTACACAAAATATATCACTGTGACTGAAAATTTTAGCTTAATTGCCGCCACACAAGTTTAGGTAGTAATATGCTTTCGGACATCACAGGATATCGGGGTGTGCGTGATGGTGAATTTTTTTTATTACGTTTATCTTGAGTCGTGAAAATACCGTCCTCCTCTTATTCCCTCCCTCTCCTTCCCTCCCCTCCCCCCCCCCCCCCCCCCCCCCCCCCCCCCCCCCCGCCCCGCGGTCAGGGTGTCCCGCATTTCGCCTGCATAGAGTTCCTGTGTAGCTCCCCCGAAGGGATCTGTTTTCCCCGCGCCGCCACGCCGCTATTCGCCGAGATCCATCACGTGAGGAGCAAAGCATCCGGCACCGTGCAAGAAAGCCACCTTTACGGTCGCTCCGCCGACGTTTCTCGCGCCCCGGCGTATATTCCCCTGCTTTCGCCCTCCTTCTCCTCCTCTCCTGTTTTCCACGCGCGGCGGCGCGCGCGGCGCCGCTATTCGCCAAGTTTTGTCACGTGAGGAGCAAAGCATCCATGGCGTGCGGGAAAGCCGGCGCTACGGCCACCCGCCGAGGCTGAATGCGCAACTCTGCTACCGTAGGTAGCATATACAGGAACTCTACGCATGCAGGAAGGTGGTTACCCTAGTTTTTGTGCGGTGAGCATTTGCATGGTAAGCTTCTGTCCGGGATTCGCTTTGACTGTGTCCGCGAAATAGTCTCCGCGTGGTAGACAGTGCAGCGACACGACTCTCACCAACGTTGCTTGACGTCAGCTCACTTGCAAAACACACGCACACTCTAAAAAACGGCCTTTCTTGAGTGAGCTCATGCTTGTTTAGAACGAGGGCTACAACGCTTTTGCCAACAGTGTGCACCTAACAGCTGTGCATATATATATATATATATATATACAGCTGTTAGGCGCACACTGTTGGCAAAAGCGATAATAACTGCTGTTCCCCCCTGCTATTAGCGACGCGTTTGACCGAAAAGCGTTGCTATACAAAACGTTCCTGATATAAAGACGCACCACGTGCACGGCACGTCGACGTGGTGTTAATTGAAGCACGAACATAACAGTTGAAATACGGTACACATTTTTCGACTGAAATGTACTACATACGCATCCCGGGATGGGAGGTACTCGATCGAATGACGTTTTAGCGAACACCCAAGTTTCACCGAATGGGGGGTGTTTCATTGTTAGCAGGGTTTGAGTGCCTGTTTCTTGGATTGGAAAGGGGTCAGTTTTTGGTTGGTATGAAAGGAAGGGAGGTAGCATGTGTCATTGGTTCAGTTTGAGATGTCGTTGATGGAGTGGAGAGGAGGTGTGTCGACCTTTGGAGAGGAGGGTTGTTGTGTATATATAAGAGCGGAGGTGTTCAAATAAACTAGAAGCCGTGTTTGAGACTTGTTGTTGTTTTGTCCGTTTTTTTATTTTTCCGTGTCTCCGGTTTACGATGGAAGTTCTTCACCAGCTCGCCTGTGCTTTTACCCTTTCTTCATTAAATTTAGCTTTTTTTTTATTATTGAAACCGATTCACATTGCGCAACACTTACGTAGTAAACCGTTACGATATAAAGGGGCCCTGCAGCAAGTTTACTTTTTTTTTATTTGCACCGAACCTGATGCATTAACGTAGTAAACTGTTTCTTTTCTCCAAATTCGCTTTATTTTAAAAGTTATAGTAGGCATATTAAAATTACAAAAACCAGCAAAAAGTAACCTCCTTCATGACGTCCTCGGCCCTCCGACCTCCTTCTCGCAGGCCGCGGTGACTGACTGAGGAATGTGGAGAGGGAGGGGAAGATGGAGAAAGGAGTTGAGGCCGAGGAGAGACAGCTGACCGGGAACAGGGCAGCCCTCTCCTTGGCTGACCAGGACCAAGAACGTCACGATTTCGTCACGTGCCGCATGCGTTCGACACCACGGGGCGCCCCCGTAGGAGGTTTCCTTGTCGGCCAGTTAAGACATGATGCACCGATATTCAGTTACTCCGTGCCCTAACCACAAGAGACGTGAAAACCGCAAAAAAGGTAGACGCTTAAATAGGATTGCATGGCCACTTTAAGAATCCAATTTACACGGTCCCATCAAAGGGCCAATCCGAAATCGGGTTCACTCGGTAATATGTGCAAATTTGCAATGAGCATCCAAATTTGGGGTACCATAATTTTAAATAAGATCCGATCGACTATATTTCTTTATTTACTCTTTCAAAGTTTTCGAACTCTATCTCAAAAAAAGGTTTTTAAAAATAATTTAATTGAAACAAACCATAACCAAGTACACGTCCACAACATGATCATCTTTTAGTGCCACATCAAACTTGCCATCGAGCTTAGAAAGCTCGCTTCTTTAGGTAGATTTGTTGCTTCCCCACAACTCATACTAAAAGGTGGCAAGAAATTCCCACAGACCACTTTCTTTCAATTAGCAACTACGAATATTTATTTCCGAGAATGAAAAATTCATGCGTCGACCAGGACTAGCCTTACAAGACGTGAAATGGATTTTATCAGGCCAGAACTAGAAAAATCAAACATGTACAGGCAAAGTACGGCGACTGTACCCATCCGCCCTCCCGATTATAGGGCGTTTTCACCGACGTAATTTTGTTGTTTCGAGCTGTCTGGCGTATGCCGAAGGAGGATATTTCAAGGATTTACATGACCCCTCAAATGCGTAGAGCACAGAAGCTTACAAGCATTACCACGCTGACGTCTCCCTAACATATTGCGAGTTAATCCTTCAAATTAGTAAGTTTGTTTGAGAAAACAAACAAAATGGCAGATCGACGCCTTCCTTTTGCACACCCCCATTTTTTATCTGGATCCTGGTTGAGCTTTTCGAGCTCGAAAATAAAGATATGTTGTTAATAACGGTATGGTTGTCTGTGAACGTCCTCCATGTTTTTATTGCTTTTAAATATCCCAATACTTAGCCCCCAAAATTTATTATTTGATATATACATCCTTAACACTTGATTTTCAGACTCTAAGCCATTAATTAAAAACATCAAAGACCACTGTTTGTCCACAAACAGCGACTAGAGGCCAAAGCAAGTCATGTCCAAAGTAGACTACTCAATAATACATAGCATAGGACGATTTGTAGCCCCAGCTGCCAAATCACTTAACACCAAGTCAGACATAAGCCAGGAGTGCCATTCTTCCCATCTCGCTTTCAAAGTTGCAGTGCAAACCTCAAACACGTCATTGAGACACCTTCAAAAGGACTTTGATGCCTCCAATCCTGAAAATCCCAATTCTTCATACGTTCCATTCCAGAAACTATCTAAAAAAAGTTGCAGTTAATCCAAAAATATCAGGGCAGGCTTGCTTGAAATGAAATCAGTCAGTTTTACCCAAGACAGCCTATGGAAAAGAAACACTGCCAAGGCTGGTGCAAGCGAGCAGCCCTGCCTAGTCTCAACGCCTTTTCTCAAGATTGCCCAGTATAAAACTAACAATACTGTCGAAAAAAAAAAATGTTGTAAGGTGCAACGAGGGTCACTGTAGTGAGCAAACCAGCATGCTAAGTGGACCGTAACTGGTGTCATAGGGTTGTACTCTATTTCACCTTCCGATGGACCAACACAAGACGCTACGAGCCATCAAAGACTATCCAACGTATCACTGGACTGGTTGGGACAGCTTGTAGTACCTGCTGCGGTTCATCGTAAGGGAAAAGAAAGCCTGCCCGGAGGGAGGCAGGGTGGAAGGGAGAGAGACTGCACACGCAGAGAGGAGAGAGCCAGCGGAAAGTCCGTTTTATTGCCCTCGAAGTGGCGCCGTCCAGCCCAGCGGCCCTGTGTGTGGGGCCGCCTTCCTTTGGCCGGTGTGGCCGATGTCCCAGCCGTGCTGCCCCCCCCGGGGCGGTTCCAGCGGATGGTCCCCTGTGGGCGTTAGGGGGCTTCCCACGGCACCCCTAGGGCGGGGATGCCCTCCCCGCCGCCTGCTGCCGCCTGCCTGGCACCCTCTGGCATCCCAGCCACCAGGGCAACGCCTCAGTCCGCCTGCACACACGCACCCCAACCAACCTTAAGACAACAGATATCTTACTCGTGGTACAACCCTTTCCACGTTTCCCAATACCCATCCTCTTTCCATTGATGACTCCATGTCAAGTGGCAGATTGTGACATAGTCATCCAGAAACATCAATTTTCCGCAGAAAAAAAAAAAAAAAGGAAACTTAGAAATTTTCTACTAATACGAGGATTCAGATTGAAGCAAATTTTGAATAAAACATTAATTGATTAAATATTCAAAAATATTGAATATTCGCACAAGCCTATGAAAGGTTTACAAGCCAGAAGAGATGCATTCTTTGCCCGTGCCAATGATCAGTGCACAATACTATTCATACCATCATAACATAAAAGATGAATACAAAACGAGAAAACCAATGTGTAACCTGTTAAAGGGGTATTCACACGAGGGAGAAATCCCGGGGATTTCTCCCCGGCACGCGCATCCCACGACGAAAACGTCAGGCTTTGCGATGTGCAAAAGCCTCGCGTTTTCATCTCGTGATACGCGCGTGCCGGGGAGAAATCCCCGGGATTTCTCCCTCGTGTGAATACCCCTTAATGTGTGGCCGCTATACGTCGGCCGTTGTGCCAATAGAAAGCCTTTCATTAGCAGACCGATCCCCCAGGTAGAGATTTCAAGTCCTCGATTTCAAACTTTTTTTTATTCGGGCAAGTTTGTTAAATGAAATTTTGATGCACAACGTGTACCAACTTCAGGCAGCTCCACAATCAATCCAAGCGAGTTACGTCAGGGAACCAATGTAGGCAGTCCCTTCAAACAGCAAACGCCCCTTTCAACTCATCCAGCACTTCTCTGCCTTTTTGCACGTAATGCACCTGCGCACACGCACGTGCGGTTCGTATGTTGGCTCATATCTGTATCTGTGCAGACAGACGTTCCCATCTCTGCGCTACCGAGCTAGCGAGCGTGCCCGCACGCATGTGCACACACACCTGCTGGGGCCTGCTGGGCTCAGTACGGCTGCGAGAAGTGGGGGTTGGCCATGGGGGCCAGGCCCCCTGCCCCGGGGCCCCCGAAGCAGTGCCGGTCTCCCTGGTAGGTCGAGTCCTGCGACAGCATGCCCTCCGCCTGGGACCGCAGCTCCTCGCCGAGGAAGCAGCTTTCCTGCGACAGCTGCGACAGCGCCACTCCCCCCTGGGACAGCACGCCCCCTCCGGGCCCCGGCTGTGTCAGGGGACCCTGCGACGGGGAAGGAGACTGAGAATGATGGAGGTGTAGAAAATCCTAGTTCCTCATCCATAGCACCACCGAAAAGACGAGGCCTGCGCAACACGCCGTCGTTAGCGAATCCCCAACCCGCCCCAAGCAGCAAACGCGCTTGAGATATAGACAGGCTTGGGCAAGCCCCAAATCCCAAACTTGATCCAACTGTTGGGTCAAGCACCCCCGTTCGGGATAGGGCCGTGTGCAGGCCCATTTATTTTTTTGAGCCATGTCGGGTTCGGGTCAGGCGGAATCGGGGTGTCGGGACCCGACCTTGCCAAATCCAGGACAAGGAGAAACCGTGTTCTAGATTGTATTGGCGGAATTATCGAACAATGCCGACTAAAATTTTCTACGAGCTTCTCGTTTACAAATTTTGATGTGAAACATTTTTTGGCTGGGTGTTTGGCATTTCGTGAAGCACAGATAAAAACTTGGCTGCCAGGCTCGACGCTGGTCAAGTGGGAGATGAGTGAGGTGCTCGACGCCGACTGGTTCACGGGGAGGTCATGTGACCGGAAAGGTGGGCGAGGAGGAGCTCGACCACCTGTGCGCACTGAGGAAGAGGAGCTCGAGAGCATGAAAGGCTTTGGAAGATCGCCAGGTTTATCAGCATGATTAGTGGTAGTACAGTCTAACCTCGTTATAACAGACCTTGATTTTGACAAAGGTTTCGGTCTGTTGTAAGAGGAGTATGTTCTATGCAGATATCAAGTTGAGTCATGGTATGTTGAGGAAAACCAACCAAACTTCACATATTGGTATCTTATACCCAAATGTCTGTTGTAACCAGGTATGTTGTAATGAGCTTAGACTGTATCGCTCCATTCCAGGAACAACTTTCAAGTGTACACATGGTAAAGGCCCGTTCACACTCTTGCAACCGAGTACGACTGAGAGAGACAAGACCGGTTTTTAATCCTCTTGCGACTTCTTAGGACCAGCTCCGCAGCAGCGCGCCTGGTCCTAAGAAGTCGCGAGAGGATTAAAAACCGGTCTGGTCTATCTCGGTCGAAGTCAGTCGCAAGAGTGTGAACGGGCCTCAAGCGTTAAACTATCTGATGTACAGCGCCGTGAACCTAGGCATCTGAAAACTCACGAGTATTGCTAACATTTGTGATGCTAGAACGTTGCACGTATAAAAAAAAAAGAATGCCCAGCAATTTGCCATAAATTTTTCCTTCCCTAAAAATTCCCTTACACACAAAATAAATCACTCTGGCTGATTGCATCCCCATTGTTTTATTTGCCAGAATAAGAGGATAAATTATCTGAATCAAGCCAGTTTTCTGATACGTAGACATGGCAATTCCTCAGTGCAAATAAAATATGGCTTTGTTGGCATTTTCATTAAAACAGGTACGAATACAAGCGGAAAAAAAATTCATTTGCCGTGAACCGTGAGAGTGAATCGATGAAAAGGGACTTATGCATCAAAAAGATTCTTGCATAATGTCGAGAATTCTTCATGCAATATCAGTGTGTCATGCGTTGCTCATAAAATCATCCAAGCACCGAATCACGGGTTTGCTCTTGCTCGCACCATAGCCAAACTTTTTTAGAGCACAATCAACTTGCTATTTATTTTCAATATTGTTTATTTCTCATTCAGCATCAAATTCCCAACAAAAAGCTACTTGGTCCAATGCCCAACATTGCAAGCATTTCTTTTTGTTTTCCTTCCTTTATGCAAGTCCATCCCTAACAACAACTCACTTCCATTTCAGAAAATTCTAGGAGCCAGCCAGCCAGTGCAGAAGCATCAGGGTTTGCTAAACCAAAAATGCACAAGGTGGGATCGCAAAGCCGAGTCATTCTTAAGTACTACCATCAAAGGGGGGAGGGGGTCGCCAAACAGCGTTACAAGCGTTTTAGGGGTCACGGGCCAAATAAGTTTGCATACCCTCGCTTCAAAGTACAGTATAGACCGCATATAACGTATGTCGCGGGAGTCGCGAAAATCCGCACTATAAGCGGTACCGCGCTATAACCAAAACATCAATTTTTCAGGCCAAAATACATGTCATGAGACAACTTACCTTTGTAAAAGAATTTATTTTATGCTAGATGAAAAATAAAGCTTACTTAGAGGAGAGTCTTTATTTCACCAGACTAGTACAGTTCTGTCTCAAGTGTGTCACACATTTTGGGAGAAATGTGCGGTTTTTGCCTGGCACAGCCTTCGGCGTCGCGGGTTGCGGACGGACGTAGCCAGCGTTCAGGATTGCTAACCCTAATCACTTTTCTCCGGAGACGAAAACGCGTGAAAATTCGCATCCTTCATACGGTACGCGCCAGTAATACCTTTAACTTGAGCACACGCGCCAAATAAGAAATCCGGGCGATGTTCGAAAACACAAATGCTTAGAAATCACCACTGTAGTCGAAGTAAACAAACACGACGGCCCGGGCGTTCAGGGGTGGAACTCATGAAATGTACTTGGGAGCAGCCACGGGAGCAGCTGAAACAGCTGTTTTGGAGCAGGTTGGGAGCAGCTAAAACTATATTCTGGAGCAGGCTAGGAGCAGCTCAGATCAGTTTGCATTGCACTTCAGCTTGTGTCTTAGACAAGCACTGGAGCAATTTCAATTGTGCTTAGCAGCACAGATAAACATGAGTGGTCAGGGACCTAGGCAGATGGGATAACAGTGTAATAGATGCGAAAACTTGAAACTTTGCGAGCCTTAATGAGAATCAAAAAGCTAGTACCTGATGTTTCTGAAGATAGCGTCCTTAATATTTTCTTAGTGGCTTTCGGCTGCTCAAAATGCAAACCAGCACTACTTATCGCACAACCCGCACGTGATTGACATAGTAATTATATGTGCGAAATACGTGACGAGCGTAAACAACGGACGTGAAGTTGCACGGAGGAGCAGGGCAACAAATTTCGAGTTTATCCTATTGTGCAACTCGATATCGAAGCAGCAGGCTACGATTAACGAAGTTATCGTATTTGAAGCGATAAGCAGGAGCAAGGTTAAAGTACGCCGAGCAGATAAGTAGAGCTGCTGGCCGGCAAGGTTTCGGATCGGACCGCGTTTAAGTTCTATCGAATCACGATTTATCTTGCGAGAATGCGGTTCCAACTCCTAAGGATGAAGTACTAAAAGGAATCTTTTGCTCATTTGCTTTCGACTGGATGACGTCCGGATTCCGGGCCGCAGAGCCTCATGCAATCTGATGCTTAACGACTCGACCTCACCTCGGCCGACTTGCCCTACCGCTTATGGTTGAAGAATAACAATCCAGTCGCAGGTGGTGTAGCGCTTAGAATCCGAGTTTTTTTTCGCGCGCTTCCGACTCGGGATAGACAGGGGGAATAAACAAAACAAAGGATTACAAGGCCGACCAGGCTAAACGCCCTCATTGTTGCCAATCGAGTCGATAGAAACCAAAACTAAGACGAAATAAAAAGTTTTTTGGCGCACGTTTTGCGATTTGGCGCATAATGGCGCGAGGTATTGGCTGTGGCGCAGTTTCTGCAACATGGCGCAGGACGGCGCAGACACATGCGTCTGGCGCAAAATGGCGCAAATGGCGCAGCCGTTCCACCCCTGGGCGTTTCTGCCGTCTTGAGAGCGCCGCCACGACATCGCCGCACGAGTAGGTGGATCTTCCCTTCTAGTAGGTGCTGGGTTATCATAGCGACACACAACGAAAATTCACAGTCAAGGATAGCGCTTTTACGCGAGAGATGAACGCCGTCTACATCGACGATCACAACCGACGCCATGTTCGCGGATAGAATCAGCTGCGCGACCGGCATGCAACGCGCGCGAACACTTCTCCCAACTTCTCCTCGACCTCTGCCTCGACCAACGCAGCGGACGGACGCACGCACGTGAACGATGCGTGCGTGCGTCCCTCCGTCGCTATGGCAACTGAAGTTTCTCTCTTCGCTTCCCCCGCTTCTTCCAGCAACCTCCTTGCCCCGCGTGTGCCGCTTGCGGGCTTGCGGCTCGTCTCGCGCCGTCAGCGCCGTTATCTGGTGTCGCACAGTGAAGCGTGCTCGCTGCTCCGGTCGTCGGCGCGGTCGGCGGGCTGTGCCAGAAACCGCACTATAACCGGTATTTCCCATCGCGCGCCTGCATTTTAAGCGGTATGCAATTACATAGAGTTCTATGGGAGGCGAACCGGTGGTTTAAAAAAACCGCGTTATACCCGGTCCTGCACTATAAGCGGTTACGTTGTAAGTGGTCTATACTGTATATGTCCCATAAAAGGGAGCGATTGGCTCACAGTTATGCATCAGAGGGTGGCTCAGATCTTCTAAAATAGTGCATCAACAAAAAAAAAAAAAAATGTACACAAGGGTGGAGAAGATTAAGAAAATTTGGGAGCTTTAGGAACCCTTGGGTGTACACTGGAGAACCCCTGTGTTCCTAGGAACCCAGTCCGAGAACCTCTGAACAAGAGAAACCTGTCTGGGGGTCTATGCCTGGGGACACAACAGTCGCATCCAGCAGAAAACAGGAGTGCCCATCCACCTTTGGAACTGTTGCGAGACGCCGTGCAGTACAGAGTTTGGAGAGCCTACCTGACTGGCCTGACTGTTGAGGCCCGGTTGGGAGAGCTGCTGGCCGGGCCTGCGGCCACCCACGGGCTGACGGCTTGGCACTCCACGGCGACCCGCACTCTTGCTGCCGCCCCGCTGTCGGGCTGCAAACAGAAAGACGCCTCGTTCTTCAGTCGGTCGCTGCTTTGTCTTCCATTACTTGTGACAAGAGTTCCGCGTTTTTGGTAAATATCACCGAAAATGAACCCGCGGGAAGGTTTCATCAAAATCCGGGAAAGCCGTAATTTCTGAATTCGAGCTGTCCTTGAACGAGAAATACCTAAGCATCACAGGAAGAAAATTTGCATCTAAAACTTCATTTTCTGTTGACCCAGAATACAGCCTCCACTGAACTGTCTGCAAAGCTGCTTCTTTTTTTTCCCAACCAAACGCCTTAGCTTGCTTCCTTTTCTCTTTGTTTTTATTGGTACTGGGATGTTTTACGAGTATGTGGATGATGTGCATGTTGTCTGGAGATTGGGACAATGCGCACGCTAACTGCCTGCATCCCATTTTCTATAACCTAAGCCTGGACGCACTCCAAATTTTTGTTTAGCACCAATCATTGACAAAAAAAAAAAAAAAGCAAAGAATGTGCAGGGGAAAAATAAATTCCGAAAGTCTCAAATGTGTTTTTGAAGTCTGTTCAATCTTTCTATTCGGTGACCAGACAATAAAATCGAGCGGCTTATAGGTGTCAAAGAGCACCCCGGCACGCGCTGCGATACGAACGACTTTCCAAGAAGTCGAATGAATTCGTGAGACGATGTCGGGTGACTCTGTGACACCACTCCGAGTCTATATCTAGTGGCTGTTACACGAGGTTTACGAGGCAACATTGAGCGACTTTGTGACGTGGCTCCGACATTAGGCGAGCCCACGGGAGGACCAAACGCTGCCCCCGTCGGCTCACCCTGGAGTGCCTGCTGGTGCTGGTTGTAGAAGCGTGGCGGCACGTGGGCCATGTTCATGAAGAGACCCACGGGCACGGGGAGCCCCGGGTTGGTGGCCCGATCGGGGGGCCCGATGAAGGCCAGGGGGTCGTGGCTGCGCCCCGTGAAGCCCTCGGGGAAGTTCTCCTTGACGGGGGCCCATGCGGCTCCCAGGCCGGCGCCCCGGGGGGTCACGGGGCCCCGCCAGGTCAGGCCGGAGGGGTCCACGCCGTTGAGCTGCGACGACCGGTCGTACACGCTGCCCGGGATCATTGCCTCCCGGGCGTCAAACACTGTCGTGCTCATGAAGTGACCGCCCTGCGAGAGAAGGAGGGCGGACATTGCAATCGGGAACCGTAGGATGCGTGCAAAGAGCACGGTGTGTCGCAACGAGACTGTGCGTCGACACGGGTCGTGCGCTACGCGACGTCGTCAATGCAGACGAGCCATTGCTGTTTTTCTTTTCTTTTTTTTTCCTTAGCGTCGAAGGTCTTTCGTCAAAGCTACTACCATATAGTGGAGAATAACTCTGTTGGGGAACTAACAACAGTGGTGAACTTTCATGCTCGCCAGTATTCTTTTGAAGTAAAATGCGGTAGCGCGTCGAAGTCGTGTTTGCACTAAGTGTGTCGCGCAATGTAAAATGGGGCTCAACAACCATTATTTGCAAATGTTTACCAGACCATGATCCCGTGCGCTTCGTCACTGATTTAAGGCTGGTTCACATATTTGTGTACGAGTGTGATTGACGGCGCCGTGACAGAAGGTTGTGCAGTTTCTGTGAGATCGAATCTGTGCAGCACCTATGAGGGGTGGTCAGTTACAACATTGGTAGGATTATTTCAAGCACAGAACAGAAAAAGATGCCTAAAATACACACGGGCAAATAGTGTTCCAGCAATACTCAATATGTACATGGCACCAGTCTGTTTGCTAGTCATATATGGTTCCAAGCAGTTGCAATGCAGTTGGTAACACTGAAACTGGAATGTGTGAATGTGCTTTTACGGCTAAATTTGCATTGTACACTAGGAGATCAGCTGATGAATGGAAAGAATGCCAATAACAGTTTAGTCCGATCCAGCTGCACCACCTGCAACAGTTCATGGTCAGTGTATGCTGCCTCGTTTGATTTATATCTTAGAACAATGCACACTGACGTACACTTTCCTCCTGCATTGGCGCAGATAAGTTTGGATAAATGCAATGTAACAACATTACCGTTAAACCCCCTATGAATGCACCCCCCCAAAAGATCGCCAATTCCATTTTTCTCGCTAAATGTCCACTACGTAAAACAATGCGCGACAATCACACGACATGATGTGTTTAGACAGCGACAGCTGTGGTGCTTGTTCGACGATATGACAATGACGATTGAGTGACATTGCGCCAATTGTGCGTCAAACAGTGATCTGATACTGAAATGACGTTCCGCTGATTTAGCGTTGATGCATTGCTGATGAATAAATGCTTCCAAGGACGTGATGTGTTTTCCTGCCAAATTTAGCAGGGAACCTGGATTGGTGCATACGTCACTCCACATAAATCTTTCCGGTAAACTTAGCGGGGAATCAGAATTTGTCTGAAGGTCCTGTGACATCACGTCACGTGACATCAATTTTCCCACCAAATTTAGCGGGGCAACTATTTTGTTTATACTCACGCGCAACACCAAGCGCAACACAAAGTTTTGTGCTTGGTATTTTGGGATCTAGAACGTGGATCTGAATTATTCCTTTTAGGTTTGATAGCTGAGAAATCAGAAAGTGCAAAAACTTCAGAGGAACCTGTATCAAAAGTTTTCAAAATTTGCAATACATATAGACCCTTTCAGGCAACATTTCATGGGCGCCGCCATCTTGGCGTCACGTGACCCTGCCGCCATAGCCGCCCTTCAGTTTCTCGCCGTTCCTCCGCGTTGTGTGCTGCGCCGGCCACTACCGGAGCTTTGTTTTCGCGTTTTTTTTACGTCCCGCGTAGAAATCGTGTGTTTTCTTTAGGTCTTTTCGATATTTCGGGCTTTCATTTAATCATTTGGTATCTATATGTCAACATAGCTCTTGTATTTTCTTATTTATGAAATGGAATCGGACAGTGAATGGATCGGCGATACAAGATTATGGCTTTAGAGGCGATGTAAGTTCATCCCATTCTAACGTTTTTGTTCTAAGGGCAGTCAACACCATTGCGACATATTCAAAGTTCAACTAACGCAGTGAGGCTATCGCAGTCATGCTTCTCGCTGCATGCGAGAAGCATGCAGCGAGAAGTCTGTAAAGCCGACCCGCATGTAGGCGATTTAGCGTGCGACGAGACGAGCGACGGCGACAACGACGAGAGTCGGCGACGAAGATTTCTCACTGTCGCCTGTTGCATCGCTCGGTTTTTTGGGTTTTTAGAAAACATCACTCACCGTCTTGGTCGCTTGCTCCCGTCGCATCCATGCGGTTTGCCTCGTCGCGCGACTGCCCGAGCGGAAGCGGGTCACCGTCGCGTGTCTCGTTGCTCTCCGAATCGCTTGCATGCGGTTTATACTTAATATCGAGGCGCCAATGCTTCAGTGCTGTGTGCATGGAAATTAATTGAGTATAAACCGCATGTAAGCGATTTGGCGAGTGACCAGATAGGCGATAGCTACCCGCTTCGCTGTCGCTCAGTCAGTCGCGCGACGAGGTAAACCGCATGGAAGCGACGGAGCAAGCGACCAAGACGGTGAGCGACGTTTTCTAGAAATCCCAAAACCGAGCAGTGTGACGGGCGACTGTGAGAAATCTCCGTTGCTCGTCTCGTCGCACGCTAAATCGCTTACATGCGGGTCGGTTTTACGGAAACGAGTGCGCACATGCAGCGAGAAGCAAGACTGTGATAGCCTTACTGCGTCAGTTGCAATTTACATATGTCGCAATAGTGTTGACTGCCCTTTATTAGCGACCAAAACGTAAGAATGAGATGAACTTACATGGTCATTGAAGCCTCATTATCTTGTGTCGTCGACCCATTCGCTGTCCGATTCCATTCCACAAATAAGAAAATACAAGAGCTATGTCGAAATATAAATATCAAATGATTAATGAAAGTCCTTAGTAAAAAGAGACCTAAAGAAAATACAAGATTTCAACGCGGAACGTACAAAAAACACGAGAACGAGGCTCCGGTAGTGGCCTGGGCAGCACACAACGCGGAGCAACGGCGAGGAACTGAAGGTCGGCTATGGCGGCCCGGAAAGCGCGCGATGGGCGCGCCGACTGGTGGCAGCTTGGGTAACTGACTCGCTGAAAGCGTCTATAATGATTTATTTCTAATTGTCAGTGAAAAAATTTATTGTTTCATGATTTTTTGTCAGATATTACTAAAATTAATTTTAAAAAATGGTTCTGTTGCACTTTTTCATGTTTATATGACGTATAGACATTTTCTGCAATACAGTGTAGACCGCATATAACGTATGTCTCGGGAGTCGCAAAAATCCGCACTATAACCAAAACATTAATTTTTCAGGCCAAAATACATGCCATGAGACAACTTACCTTTGTAAAAGAATTTATTTTACGTTAGATGAGAAATAAAGCTTAGTTTGAGGAAAGTCTTTATTTCACCAGACTAGTACAGTTCTGTCTCAAGTGTGTCACACATTTTGAAAGAAATGAGCGGCTTTTGCCTGGCGTAGCCTTTTATTGGCGTCGCGGGTTGCGGACGGACGTTGCGAGCGTTCAGGATTGCTAACCCTAATCACTTCTCTCCGGAGATGAAAACGCGTGAAAATTCGCATCCTTCATACGGTACGCGCCAGTAATACCTTGAACTTGATCACACGCATGAAATGCGTCAAATAAGAAATCCGGGCGATGTTCGAGGACACAAATGCTTAGAAATTACCTCTGTAGTCGAAGTAAACAAACACGACGACACGGGCGTTTCTGCCGTCTTGAGAGCGCCGCCACGACATCGCCGCACGAGTATGTGGATCTTCCCTTCTAGTACGTGTTGGGTTATCATAGCGACACACAACGAAAATTCACAGTCAAGGATAGCGCTTTTACGCAGAACGATGAGATGCACGCCGTCTACGACGACGGTCACAACCGACGCCATGTATGCGGAATAGAAGCAGCCAACCCGCGACCGACATGCAACGCGCGCGAACACTTCTCCTCGACCTGCGATTGGTCTGTCGTTGCGGTTGTTTGTTTCTTTGTCTCCAACGCCGCGGAGGGACGGACGCACGTGAACGGACTCGTGCGTGCGCGCACGTGAACGACTTGTGCGTGCGTCCCTCCGTCACTATGGCAACTGAAGCCTCTCTCTTCGCTTCTCCCCGCGTTTTCGAGCAACCTCCTTGCCCCGCGAGCGCAGCTTGTGGCTCGCGCCGTCAGCGCCGTTATCTAGTGTCGCACAAGGAAGCGAGCTCGCTGCCCCGGTCGTCGGCGCGGTCGGCGGGCTGTGCCAAAAACCGCACTATAACCAGTATTTCCCTTCGCGCGCCTGCATTTTAAGCGGTATGTAATTACATGGAGTTCTATGGGAGGTGAACCGGTGGTTTAAAAAAACCGCGTTATACCCGGTCCTGCACTATAAGCGGTTACGTTGTAAGTGGTCTATACTGTATTTGGTTTTATAAAACTATTATAAAAAAAGTTGCACAGAAACATCTGCTATAAATCAGATTTCCTCTCAAAGTATATGAGATAGGCAAATAAAACCCTTAGATTTGTGTTCAGCAGTCAAAGTTACACCAGGGATGGACATTTCATTCTAATTGGATCAGAATCGACTGAGAATCTTCAAAGGGAAGTGAAACCCAAAAACACATGTATCCACTGAATAAGCCTACATACATGCTTCTCAAAATAGCCTTTACGTATATTTTAGACCCTCAGAAATTAGTGCCTAAAGGCACATTCTCAAGTTACAAGCGGCATTAAAAAAAAAAACACTTCACTTTCGTAAGCGAATGCGCTGCAACGGGCAAAAAGATGAATCCCAAATGTCCTCTACGAAGCACACCGAGTACGCTGCCAGGCGGCGGGGCCACTCACGGGGTTGACAGTGTTGATGAGCTTGCGGGGCTTGCTGAACTGGATGAGGCTTTCCTTGAGATTGTTGAGGGGCCCCTCGACCAGCACCCGGTTCTCCTTGTAGAAGCTGAGGAGGTGGTTCCACAAGGGCTGCTTGGACAGCACCTTGGGGTTGCCCACAATGATAATTCCGTAGCGGGCACGGGTCAGGGCCACATTCAGACGCCGGGGGTCGTTCAGGAAGCCGATGCCCTGGTGCTCGTTGGAGCGCACGCACGACATCACAATCAGGTCCTTCTCCCGGCCCTGGAAGGAACGGGCAGCGAGACAATGTCTATCTTATAATATTTGCAGACAGACAACAAAAACTTCATTGCTGAAGCAGCTGACCTTACAGTATAGTGCGGAACCGAATAAAAACAAACAAATAAAAAAAAAAAGACCAAGCGGATGAATGAACCGGACTGGTCGAACAAAACGATCGTCGAGTTGCCGAAAAGCAAAAATCTTTGGCAAAGCCAAGATTCATATTCTGGGTCTCTCAATAACCGGTCGGGTATGCTAACTGCGCTACACCGACCCTCGTAGATGACGATACCCATTTCTAAAGCTGGTAAACGAAAATGTAGGCACGTACATGTGCGTGGCAAGACAAACAGTGAGGGGACCTCTAAAGCACAAGTACGTAGCTCATGCCAGAAAGTGCCATACTGCTTTCCGCGCGGCGGCATGCGCTTCCAGAACCCCTCCGATCAGATACATTCTGTTTGGCGCATTAATAAGGCGGGTAGGAATTGCCAAAAGTATAGGTGGCCTGGTGCAGTGGTTAGCATACCTGACTGACCATTCGAAGACCCGGAGTTTAAATCTCGGGACCGCAAATGATTTGTGTTTTTCGGCGGCTGTGTAACAGTTATTCCATTTAATCGCTAGAGTTCATTAACCTGCATTTTTTTTAAGCTTATTTATTCTTTGAAGACCGCATAGGATAATGAGAATGCCCCGTCATATAAGGCAGAATCTCTTATAGAACTGGTACAACATACCGTTATTACTCGAGTAACGGACGCATTGTTTATGAACAAAGCCTGTGGTCCCCTTTCCTGCAATGCTTGCAGATAGCAAATCCTCGCAACTGACAGAAAGATGTTGGTAATCTGCGGGACTAAGATGACGTCTTCTCGCAAAAATGCTACCTGCACAGATTACATTTTTATGAAAAACCTCATTCTCGACCTGTTATCTGCCATGTTTTTTAAGCAAAAAGTGACAATTGGCTGTATGTGTGTTCTGCAGGAGAGTGGAGTCGGGGGGCCTTGTTGCTAGGTGGTGCAACTATCACTCGAGCAAATACGGTAATGTCCAGACAAGTAGCCCACCCTCAGATTCCTGCTAAAATTTAGTACTTTAGAAGGTTCCACGAAGGCCCATATCTTTTTATGCCAATGCATGTCAGAGAACCCTAGATTTTGACAGAGCCAAGAGCTACCCGCCTCCCCCCCCCCCCTCCTGGCATCAGATGTGGTGCCAGGAGCGTGTCTCCAGCTGGTGTGTTTAGTGTCCTGTCCCGGCCAGTAATCCAAAGTGGTCCCAGAGTGCCAACAAATGACACTACAGATGTTGAAACATCGCAACATTGGATGTCGCGATCCCGGCAAAAATTATGGGCGATCCCTGTCGTTGCAGTTCAAACTCCTGGCTACCAATGCTTCCGTGGATTGTCAAGCTCGAGAGAGACTTGCAGCAGGACGGGCGTCTGCCACATTCGCCGCTGCTGCTGCGACACAGCCAGGGTCGCGGTCGGTAACGACCAGACACTTCTCCGACGTCTTTGGTCAGAAATCGAGGGTCTATGTTTTAGAACAGGTAGTCACACCAGTCGGAAACGACTTCCAGGCACCGTACTTGGGGGCAGGAGAGATCGGGGAACCCGGTCTGAAAGCGCACCTGGAAAGCGTCGACACTGGCCACCTCGATCTCTTGGTACAGCTTGGCGTGCAGGGCCCCCTGGAACTGCATGTGCTGGACCAGGTACGCCCGCTGGCCCTCGTACGGGGTGATGATGCCGATCTGCTGGGGCTTCACTGCGCTGCGCAGGAACCGGGTGGCAATCTTCTCCACCAGGGCCGCCTCCGTCCTGTTAAGGTAAGAAGTGCCGCTGCCCGCCATCTCTTCTTGCCCTTGGCAGGCGTAGAACAGCATCGGCTTGTCCGGCTGCGGCCAGGGGAAGTCCACCCCCTTCATCCGCCGCTCGTCTGCAAGCGCGCCGCACACCCAGAGAGAAATTCAAGCGCATCTCGAGTTGCGTCCGATACACCCGGAGATGTGTGCAATGTGTTGCGAATGAGCTGGGCACATGCTTTGCAAGTGTGTGCACCTGACGTCGCGGTGTCGCACAGTGCCAGGATGCGATGGGACCTTGTGCTGCGATGTGTCGCTTTTCAAACCCAGTCAGCATTAAAGCGGGGACTCCAGATGTGCACAGTTCATTCACAATTTCCAACGCACATATTAGAAGATGCAAAATTGCAAAAATTCTAAAACAATGCTGGAAACAAAAAAAAAGAAAATGTACGAAGGCGGAAAAGAAGGGGGGGGACGAAAGAAACGTGAGGTGCAAGTATGTGTTACTACTGTGAAGCTCGGAGCCCCATGAAGATCCCGCGTTGCAGGACCAAGGGAAGATTCCAGAGTTTGGTTTCTACCATTTCGAATGTCACGGCAGTGCGTGGCCGTGTAATTACTACCCCAAATCAAGCAACACAGGAGAGCAGTTGTACTATACGAGCCAAATCGCCCATCTAGTGAGGAGACATCAGATGTCATCAGACTAACTCTCAGCCACCTGAACCTCCATATGAAAAATGTAACTTTCTACTGTAGAATACGCTTCTGATGAGGGTAACCCAGTGAAAACTAAGGCACAAAAGTGAGACGTTAAAACATTACGACTTCCAAATCCACCAAAAATCTTTGGGACATAAATTCACATGGGCTAAAATGAGCCCGAAACAGCCAACATGGATTTTTAAGCCTCACTGGCCTTAGTGACCATGGGGACAACCAATGCTGGTCTCGTCAAATCATGACAAGGGTCCCGGTACATAAAAGATTGCAAGTTATCACTAATCCAGATAATAATAATAAAAAAAAAAAAAGATTTATATGGCTTAAATTAGATTAATTTGATTTAAATCACAGTGGCTAGAAAAGAGTAATCCTTTACCACTAGATATATATTTCTACGCGGCAGATTGATTGATCAATTCATCTATCCCTGATAAAAATGCAAAAGAATTACCGTAAATGTAAAGTACAGTTTAATTCACAACTTTTGCATGTAATCTCCATTATACTAAAACAAACACAGCTTGACCTTTTTGTTAGATAGAAAGCTACATTTTTCTTTCACATTTTCACTTGATTGTGAAAGGATATTATTTTTCTTCTAGATTTTGTGCGACTCGCCTTCCGATTTTGTTGTAATAGGACGTTACATAGCTGATGAAAAAGGCGGAAGGTAGAAATCAAGCTGAACGCTCAGATTTGCTCTGAAGAGCATTTCTTAATGCTTGTGTTCATCCTTACATAAATATTTCTCGCTTAATAATTCCTTTATTTAAATTTAAAAAAAAAGAAATGCCTAGAAAGTGTCAAATGATAGACAAACGGGGAATACAACTATTTTTGGAATTATTTTTTCGTGGAAAAAGTTTGACTAAAATCATTATAGAAAAATTGATGATTTAAATCAAGATCTAAATCATTGATTTTTATTCTCCACTATGCATATTCTATGTATGAAGATTACGTCAGGTATGATTTAAGTATATTGCTAAACTTTTTTTACAAAGCCGTAGTATGGGAGTATTCTGCAACTTGTAAAACTGCTTAATTCAAACTCAAAACCAAAAAAAAAAGTGTTTACTGAACGATTTTGTGGATTTGTATTTTGCAAAAAAAGATCTGGTGTCAATCAGTGTCGCCTAAAAAAAAAGTGGGAATAATTTCAGTTTCATGAATGCAAGTCTAAAAACCCCAGGATTTCATAACAGCTTGGCAAAAGTTTGTAGTCATTTTTAACCTTTGTATCAAGTGCGGGTGACGCACACACAAGCTTTTCCACAGAACGACTGCTGGTGGCCATAAAATAGCAATCATCCACTCACACCCATTTCTTAATGCCATTAGGAGTTGTTTAAGTGGAACGCGATATGCAGCCTTTCGAAAAGGAGTAGGACCGCTTGAGAAAGGAAAGGTACCGGCAAAGACTCCGTTCTGCAGGGACCCCTCGTAGAAGAAGTTTGAGGGGAACTTGGACAGCTGCGGGTGCATGCGGTATTGCACCTCCAGCCTCAGGGGCCGGATGCCGAGCACCACCAGGCGCTCGAAGAGGGACTGCGACAGGCCCGCCCGGGCTGCCTTCTTGCACATCACCACGGGGCCCAGCTGGCAGTGGTCCCCGACCAGGATCAGCTGCAGGGAGGGGTCGGCCGGCACAGACGTCACATGAGGCCTAGCAGTTTCTCCGACAAGCGGCACTCTTCGTCGGAACCCAACGTCACACGTGGCAAAGGAATTGCGAAAGTACAAAGCTTTTTTTCGTCCATGCACCTCTTCCTTGGGAGCAGTGCATCGTTTTCCCCGAAATTCCGCTGTGCCTACAATCTGACTACCGAATGCCTCCGCGCTTCTTTTACTGCAAGTGCAGGTTGATTTCTCAGACTTCGCAGATCAGCCAGCACCCGATCGCTAAAAGTAAGTCGGATTACAGCTCTTGCTCGGTTGAATTTTCGTTGACAGGGAGAATCGGCAGTCACCCCTCCAGATGTGGCAGAGAGATTATGGGAGGCCTCCACCATGCACGATTCCAAAGAGAACTATGGTTCTCCCCTCGATAAGCCTACTAAGAAAGAGATGAAGTTTCTGTCGCCGGAGCTCCTGTCCCCTTCCCCCAAACAGTGGCATCATTTAAGGGGTGACGCTGTTTAATGTAGGTCAAATCCGGGGGTTTCTAAACGTCTAGTCTGAGTCGCTACACTGTCTCGGAGTTCCTAAATGTCTTTTTAAAAAAAATAGTTTAACAGTATTATACTATATCTGTAATGAGTGCACCCATTCAAAGCCTAAAATTTGGCACATCACAGAACAGAAAGATGAGATTGCTGAGCTATATATGGCTAAGCATCGCTTAAAACTGTGGCAAAGCTGTAGAAGGACCTAATTAGGAATGGTTGGACCGAGAAAATTAGCACGATTGAGAAGATAATCAACCTTCAGCATACGTGTCACGCAGGGATGAGTCATTTGCCATTGGCGACTGCTCAGACAGTCCAACATCCCCGTATAGCTCTGAACTGAGGCCGAACAAACAACTCGACCATGATTTAGCGTACCCGTGCAACGAGGTTGTTACATATCCCGCGACAATAGGCCTATTGCATTGAGCTTCCTGCGTCCCTGCAGCAACGCCCTCTCATTAAGCAGGAATTTAAGTTGGGCTCAAACTTGCATGGGTCCTCCCCCACATGTTCAGGTACAGGGTGCTTGATAATATCGAAAAAGCCGCAAACACCTCAGACTGCGACTCTGTCGCCGACAAAACACTGCCCAACACGTAAGAGATGCCACGGCGGTGCTCCATCCACAGATGGCAGTTTCCAGGCACAAGGGACAAGCCTCACCTGCTTGGCTCCCAGCACGACGGGCACCATGCACTCTGGCTCCGTGGCCTGCATGCTCTCGTCGATCAGGATCGAGTGGAACTTGAAGCGGGCCAGCCGGGGGTCTCCCGCCCCCACGCACGTGCAACAGATCACGTCCGCCGCCTGCGAGGGGAACGCAATGGAACATGCTCGAGCCCGCACGTACCTAGAGCACTAAGTATGAACGCTTGGCCCCGTCTGCATCTGTAAAAAAACCTGTCGTTGGATGTATTTCCTGTCCTGCTGCATTCTCCTTTCCTCGTGTGATGAAGGAAGGGGAACGACTCAGTGCGGCGTCCACATTATGTGGAAAGCGAGGGAATGGTGCGGGTATCTTCTCCATAAAGGAGCCGGCGAAAAATGGTCTCCCATGCTCGTGTCAAGGAATGCTTGAGAGCATGGTTCCTCGAATGCATCTTTGACTGGTGTGTTTAACAACCTATTCTGCCCCTACATTAAAAGTGATCCTGTAGTAGCAACAAGTGATGTCACAGGAGCCAGGATGTAGTGCAGTCGAATATTGCGATCCCGATGGTCGGAGATAGAGGTCTTGGTAAAGCGTATAAGTGAATGCGAGTGTCACTACCATATTTACTTGCGTAATGAACCCACTCGCATAAAGAACCCACCCCCCCACTTTTGCACTTGAGGAAATACTTTTTTTTTTGTGTGTGTGTGTGTGGGGGGAGCACCCCAATTCAAAAGTTGGTGCGTAATATCTGTTCACTTTATTTTGGTGTGATCGCCGGTGTCGTAGACGATCACAGTAACGTAACTTCACACTGTTATACATCAAGCAACGATGCCAGAAAGTCCAAGAACCATGCCAAACACTCTCCGGCGACGTCACAGTTAAAAAATCGTGCCTTTTTGTGGCGGAGCGCCATCTGTCAATTGCAACGGAAAGCTCCTTGCTTATAGCGCCATGACAGCACGGCGGTATGCAAAGAAAGTAAAAAAACAATGTAAAATCGCCGCCATTTCATCGCTGCTTCTGTTTTTGTGTGGACTGTGTTTTGCGGAGAACTTGGGCACCTGCTGCGAAAGCTACGATGGGCCGGTACGCTAGCTATACGGCTGGTTTTAAGCTCAAAGTCGTTGAGCATGAGTTGGGAGCATGGGAACCATGCGGCTGGACGGCATTTCAGCGTCGATACGGTGCGTGTACACAACTGGCAAAAACAAGAGGAAGAGCTTCGCGCTACAGAAAAGGATCGCCACGCATTTCGAGGGCCAAAACAAGGCAAGTTTCCTTTCATGGAAAACGAAGTTCTGGATTATGTGAAGAGGCTCCGCAGTGAAAGCTGTGCAGTGTCCCATGTGCTGATTCAAAACCACGCGGCAAGCGACGTCAGTGAAGAGAGTGACACTAGTTGTGAGTAGGAACACCAACAAATGGCTGGCTAGTGACATGAATAAAAGAAAGGGTTACATATATGTTGTGTATGCGCTTTTACTTTTTTTAAAACGTAAGGTTTTATTTCATAGCGAGTTTCCTAAATTTCAATTCTTATAAATCTGTCGCAACTTTTTTTTTTTTTTTCCCCTCTCATCCTGCGTAATGAACCCTCCCCCCATATTGACATTAACTTTTCTGAAAAAAGAGGTGGGTTCATTACGCGAGAAATACGGTATCTTTGCCACGTTCCACGGCTGCTGGAGCTTCCATGTACCACCAAGCTGGAGAGCGATCTGTGGCAAAGTGGGCGCCTGCCTCATCTACTATTGCTGCCGTGACACTGCTGGGATTGCGGCCGATGGCGAGACACTTTTCCGACGTCGTCGGGCAGAGATTGAGGGACCACTTTCTGTGACGCATACCCGCCAACCTAGCAACATGAAAATTTGGGAGACTGCCACGTAGGGGGGGAGAAAGGGGTCACAATGCTTTCTTTTTAGAGCGCAGCTTTTAGGCACCCGTTCCCGGCTTGAGTGGCGTCGGCGTAACCGCGAGGAACACTCGTAACCCTCGTGAGGGTTACTCTCATGAGGGTTACCCTCACGAGGATCACGAGGGCTACGAGGGTTACTAACCCTTGTAGCCCTCTTGAGGGTTAGTTACCCTCACGAGGGTTATGAGAGCTACCCTCATGAGGGTGACGAGAGTTACCCTCACGAGGGTCACGAGAGTTACCCTCACAAGGGTTACCCTCACGAGGATCACGATGGTTACCCGGGTCACGTGACCCCCGTTGACGCCATCGCCACTGATGACGTGGTCAGTGACGTCACTGATGACATCACCGGCATCCGCATCGTCACTGATGACGTCATCAGTGATGTTGCTGATTACGTCACCGGCATCGTCATCATCACTGATGACGTCATCAGTGACGTCACTGATGACGTCACCGGCATAAGCATCGTCATCGTCACTGATGTCGTCATTGGCATCGTCACGTGACCCCCAGGTCACGTGGCACCCCACGATCATGTGACCCCCCCCCCCCCCCCCACCCGAGGTCACTTGACCCCCCGCCCCCCCAGTGCCCTTCCCTACTCCTCCTCCTCAAAAGCTGCACTCTAATTCGGCGTTACAGGGAGTTGTAAACGGCTTTCTTTTTTTTAGTTTGACAAGAAACTTTGTGAAGAGGCACTCTGCACAGATCACACTGTCTTCGCAGCTGATTTGGAGTAAACTGCCGATGGTGCCCTGCCCTTCTACAGCACAAACATGGTTCTGATGCTTTCGTGAAGCAATGTGTATTTTGATGTCAGGCTTGCCGCCGTGCGAAACGCTCGCATCACAGGTGCCCATGGTACAAAATCCATACTTGTCAGCTTTCTGCGAAGCGACAAAGCACGAAAACTCAGTCATGTATGATCTCAGAAATACTTACAAGTACTTCTTGGCTATTAAAAGCACCATTGACTGTTCCAACTAAACTCGGGGAAACTCAGAGTAGTTCGGCGTTCCGCACTTCACTCGACGACCTGACAAAGCCAACTGAAGCCTAGCGTACCCATGATCATATATATAAGCCGTGTTACGAAATGAGCTTGAACTTACTCAGGAGCAGAGGTTTTGTCCCTTGGCGTTCGAAAATCTGCCCTTGTTTTACGCTGTGGCTCATGTGGCAACCCGCCGGAGTAACCTAAACCTACTTTCGAGTAACTCTCACTGACACAAGCGTGGGGGCGCAAGCCCCCGCGGTTGTTGCCGCGTGGGAAGTCAACCTCCACCTGCTCGTGGTGCGCCCTGCCAGCTTTATTGCTGCAACGGAGGCTCTGGCGAAAACCCCCCCACCTGGGATGGGGAACCCTAGCACTGGGGTTCCGCATGTGGACGGGGGGGACAAAAAGGGCCTGGGAACCCTAGCTTACCCCATGGAAGCGGAGCCACTGAGGCGGGGTCCATACCAGGGGAAGCTATCATAAAGGTGGTGCCCCTCGTAACTTCCCACGTAGGGAGGTGCCCCCGCATGGTGGCGGGGGTGATCTCCAGGGGAGCCGAGGGATATAAAAGTGATCACTGATCGGCGGGGCTGGATGGTTCATGGTTGCCATTCAGTGACCGTCGGACCCGCTGTGAGACGCACTCATGTCTTAGTAGCGGAGCCGGACAGTGAGTCGAGCAAGTGGGTACTTTTAGTACCACTGGTTTTCCCGGGCCGTTCCACTGGCTGTACAATACAATAGTTGGTTTCATTTATAACCCCTTAATTCCAATTGGCTTTTTCCTGAAATTTTCACTTGATCACATGATCCTATTCATTTTTATTGGGATTGGGTTAAGCCTGCGGTGCGAAAGCGGGAGCGGGCAGGGGACAAGTTTTTCTTAAATTTTTTACAAGAGCCCCGACTCAAAATCTGACACAAGCGTGATGGTCATAACAATAAAATGCCATAAAAAGTTTTAAAAAATACGGCGGTCATTTTTTGGGGATTCGAGGTCACGTCCGTTCGATCAGGAGATGTGGTCGAAATTCGGGAGGCTCCCGGACAATTCGGGAGAGTTGGCAGGTATGGGGGACGTGTTCCAGACACAGTACTCGAGAGACAATTTAAGACATTTAAAGCACCATTCTAAAATTAGCCCTTTCATTAGGAACATCCGGACAAGGAACCCTCCGAGGCAACGAACGAATACCTCGAGCAGCTCTCTCTCGCAGGCCTTCTTGAGCATCCGGTAGCGCTTCTCATCTGCTGACGACAGCTCCCCCGTCTCGTCCTTGAGCTGCTGCAGCTTGTGAAGTTCGGAGTGGCTGCGAGGAAACAGGGGCGATGGGCAGAACAGTTGGGTCACGTAAACTTTCTCTAGGCCAAAAGAATGAGGGGGATCGGTGGCTGTGTGTTAACGCACCATAGTACGGAGCACACGGGGCGAAAATTTGTGCGGTGGCACCTAGAGGCCCTGGGTCATATCACGACACCCACCCCTTTCCATCTGGACGAGCATCGAACCGGCGTGCAGTCGTGTCACTACCGTGCTATGCACGCTAAAGACGCCGGGCTAGCAGTGGTACGGCACCGGCAAACTTTCTCTTCTATGGCTAGGGCACTAGATGCCCATTAATTAAGACTGACCAACTTGCAGCTGTTTAAACACACATGCAATGCAATTACTTTTTCTGACAGGATGAGAAAGTACACGCAACACAATTACTTTTACCGACAGGATGAGAACATACACGCTACACGATTACTTTAATTGACAGGATTAGAATGTACACACAACAAAATTACTTTTACCGACAGAATGAGAACACACATAACTCAATTTGTTTACTGACAGGATGAGGACGGCAAGACGTCTTATTTGGATGCCCGGCCTCCAGCAGACACTCACTGCCTTCTGCCATGCTTGGGCTACGCATGCATGCACGAGGCTCGAGAGACACCCTTGTTTTGTCGAAGCTAGGAAGCCTACGCTGGAGTCAGGACAACTGAGAGACCTCCCGGACGTTCACATTTTGTTGGTGGCTCTAAATAAACTCTGTTGGCAAACTTCCAACAGGACGCATTGCCCCCCACCTTTCCCTCCCACGTTTGTCACTAGTTGACCAAAGTGCCACCTTCTTAGCACGGCGCGGCATGCCTCGCAAATGGTAGTTTAAAGAGCAGCCCCAGCATGCACTAAGTATGGCACCTCTTGACTCGTGACAAACTTTGAGGGGAGAGGGGGTTCAGCTTCTGCAAGTGCCTACGCAAGTTTGCCAACTGAGAGTATCTAGTGACATGGACGACTACCAAGGATGCCGGGCAAAGACGGAACGTATCAGAACCTGGATGCTAAGCGTAGAGACCACCGTCAGTATGTCAGATCATGCTGCTACAGTTGTCTATACAGCAACTCCAATTTCCCTTTTCCTGCGTTAGTCGCGTCTGAAGTATGGCTTCATGGAAACTATCGCTCCTTCCAAGCATACCGTAGAATACCGCGCAATCGCCCATTCCATATTAAGTGCCCATTACCGAATTTGTGAGATCTGAGAAAATATGCACAGTACATTTAAATGTAAAATTGATGACCGGACAAGCGCCCATCCCCCATTTTTTTGCGATTATCTCCAAAGTTTGAGTGGGTGCTTGCCCGGTATTTTACGGTAGTTTGCACAAACTTGGCACCGTACACAAGTCGTGCAAGCGCCCTAAAAACATGGTGATGTTGCTGCCGTGCAACCGGCAGTGATACCATCAATTTTTCATTTTCAACAGGACAAAATGTGACGGCAGATTACCCAACAGAGCTTCCCGAGAAGAACGCGGAACGGGACTTCTCGGTGTCAAAGAAGCTCGCAAAGAACACCGTTAAACCTTTGGTAGTTTAAAGGAAAAGTCTATCCTCACCCTTCCATGTTGCGGATTTGGTTATGCAGGGCCAGGAAAGAAACAGGCGAGTTGATGGCCTCCCGACTCTTGGCACAAAGACGCACCACCTGCGAGGAGGAAGCGAACGCCGTCAGGAATAAAACGGGGATAGTGTGCGAGAATGCAACCCGGCAAAGCGAAAACTAGGGCCTGGTGACCTACAGCGGGTGTTCTGAACCTGGTCATCTTGAGGAAAGCTTAGACCTAGACTTTATTTCCATAATTTGACTCATAATTGCTCGGTGCAACCGAGCAATTTGTGCAGCTCGTCTGCGAGAAAGTGTTTAATGCTAGCTGTTCCGTGTGCGATCGGTTGTGGCTTATACGAGACGCCGTGAGACGCAACCTCGCTGGAACTTCCAGTCAATCACGATGGAATGTCATAGAAATGTTGCACCATTCGACGCTGTTCATTCGCATGACGTCGCGTGATCATCCGAGCAATTTTCATTATCTATTTTAATTTATATTATTGATTTCTTTTAAATAATCTTGCAATTTATTTATTTTTAGCTCTTTTCTTTGTATTATTTTGTTATGTATTATTCTTTAACTTAATTTTGCAATTTATTTAGTTGCTCTTTATTGTTTTGTTTTCATTAACTTATTTTGTGCCAACTCTCCCTAGTGAATGTGTTACCTACGAAGTATGCAGGCGTCTGAACCGCTTTGCCACATCCATGCCGAGACAGATGAGAGGGGTTCCTTATCTTTCAATCAAGAGATAAAGTGTTCCTCGCGACTGAAAAGAACCACCGGTAGTGGATCAAAGTTGGCTAGTCTGATTAAAGCCCCTTGTTTTAAAAGTAGCACAAGGTGTGTCGGTGCAAGAGGCACGTGCAGCCCTCGGGAAGACCATGGTGGCACAAAGCAGCACCGAGCTAGATTTCGGATGCCATGTTCTTCCCAGAAGTGGCGCGCGGCACGTGTCTCAAGCATTTCCAAAACAATGAATGGCGCTACTTTTCCCAGGATAGAGGGGCTTTAAGTCCGACTCCCGCTAAGGGACAAAGTGATTTTTGCAAAGACGCCACACTACGTCATCATGTTTTCGTTGAGACTCGTAGCAGCACTCTAGACCTGGGAGCCGGCCCCAAGATGCATTCTGCGCACTAGAAGGAGAAATCCCGAGGGGGAGGGCGACACCTGCCTTGAGGCTGGTCTGGTGGATCTTCTCCGTGAGCTGGTCCACGGCAATGTTGCTCGGGGCACACACCAGCACCGGACCGTTGCTCTGCTTCACCAGGTGGTACACTATCGTGCCCGAGGTCACCGTTTTGCCTGTTCCTGGGGGACCCTGAAAGGAGGACGCAACGAGCCGAGGAGCTCAGAAGGCCCTTGCGGCGTGCAACAATGCTACCGAAATGTATGCCTGCTACAGAATTGCCTGCACTGCTTCACAGCGAAACTGCGAAGAAGTTTCCTCGGCCTTAAAAAGAAGACGTCGCCAGGACCTTTTAATGATATGACGAGGCCGTGCGAAGACCCAGAAGCAACATAACCCGTCGCTCGAACGACGCATAATTAATTATGAGACAGCAACAAAACAGACAAAATTCGAGCAGCATGCAGTTTGGATGCGTTTGTAAGGAATTTGGAGGTGAGGGAGTGAAGGGAATAGTTTGAAAATCTTTGGTCAGAGAGGGGCAAACCTAACAAAAATAAGAAGGACGAGAAGGATGTCTTAGACATAAGTTTCTGGCAATAAACCGTGACATTAGGCTAGCATAACTACTATTGATATTCAAATTTCTAGACACTGCCGAGAGCCTGTCTTGCAAGAGCCTAATCCTTTCAGAGCAGCCATGCTATGGCAGCTCTGAAAGGATTGAGCAATATCTGACTGCCACTACACCGACCCAGGTTCAACGCCACTGGGGCTCAAACTTTCTACATAAAAATTATACGGTGCATTTAGTTTTAATTCAAACATCTATTGATTTTCAATAATCTGCAAAAGGTATACAAATGCGGTTTGTGCAGGCAAGTTATATGGCCAGGGGGACACAATATACAGGCCTATTTCTTATGTTACGTCGAAAAATCATCTAAAATTTGTTAATTAAATTTTAATTAATAAAAATAAACATATGGTTCTAATTAGTAACTTGCTTAGTGTCATCGAAAACCATTAAATTGTTTAACTTCAGATGGATTTGATGCACATGGGAAGCACTGGGGAGTGCGAAAGTTACTGCTCATGCAAAAGGCACTAGGCTAGCGTGCGATGGGGACGAAAATCTTGCGCATGTTTATGCACTGCTAGCCTCGTGCCTGATGTGCAAGTGGCAACTTTGGCACTCCCCAGCACTTTCAACCATTCTAAAATTGACTTCTTTAGTAGTTTTTGATCATGCTCAGCAAGCTTCCAATGGGAACCATATGTTAATTTTCACTAATTAAAAACTTACAAAAGATTTTAGTTAATCATTTGACCTAACTTGAGAAATAACCCCCCACATTAGGCCGCCTGCCCGTATAACCCACCCGCACAAACCATATTAGTGTACCTCTTGCGAACTTTTAAAAATAAATCTGTTTGAATTAAAATTGAACACCCGGTATATAAACCCCATATGTAACCTTAGCGCTATGTAATGCTCGTTCATGACGCATTTCTCATAAAAACCGGCTCAGGAAACACCCAGAAAATGGGGCAGTGTCCCCTCCTGACCTGTATGAGGGATAGAGGCCTCTGCAGGGCGTGCTTGACGGCGTACACCTGGGAGCGGTTCAGCTCGGGAAGATTGGGGGCTGAGAAGTGCTTGGGCAGCTGGCAGCGCATCACCACATCCTCCACCTCGTGGCCCAGCAGCTTGTGGTAGATGTAGGCCGACACCGAGCACTCGTCCACAGCAAACTTGCGCAGGGCCGCCTGCATCCTACAACAAACAAGGAAGTCGTGACTCGAGTCGACCCATGGGCGGGTACGCTTAGTGGCAGGACGCTAGGGAGCTCCAACGGGCGTCCGGCGTCTGTGCCGTGGAAGAGAAATTTAGCCAGCGCAGCACGACTGCCGGCCTCGGGTCTTTTAATGGGCGTCGCGCGGAACTGACACACGACTGCGCGAGGCCCGTGCAGCCGTCTGTCACTACTGCAAAAGGAAAAGCCCGAGGCTTTTCCGTCGCGTGCCTCGAGCTGCGGCGCATTGAGACGCTTGGCCACCGACTCTCCCTGCCTCCCCTCCACTTCGGGCTGGCTGGAAGTGCTGCCAAATTCCACATCCAAAGGCACTATACTCCGTTTGTACCCATGCCTCAGCTATGCCGAAGGTGCACTCGAACTAGAAATAATTAAATAGGTGTAAGAATGATCGAAAGAATCCAAGTTTGCCGGGGAACCCCCGAGTTCCTAGGGACACAGTCCGAGGACTAGGTTCTTAGCGATGCCCAAGAGGAAACGGCTTGAGCAACAAGGATAAACTAGCAAACCGGAAAACAATGGTTACAGTAAGTTGCAGCTCAAGGAGGTAGGGTGAGGGAAAGGAAGGCAGGGGGGAGGAAGCAGACAGAACGCTGGAATGAGGGGGAAACCAACTCTCAAGCGTTCAGTCTGCTTCCTCCTCCCCGGCCTTTTTTTTCCTCACCCTACCTTCTTGAGTTGAAACAAACTATAGCAGGAAATTACAGTAAACTTCATTATTACTCCAAGTAGTGGAAGATTAGCATATGCATTCATCCAGCCAAGGTTAGCATTTTGCATGAGAAAGAAGCAAGTTGACTGGAAGGTCAACGAGAGCAGCAAAGCACTGTCCCTCTTTCCGCCATTTCTGCTACCCCGACATGCGCCGTACGTTGTCGCCCAGGCGGCTTTTCGTTACCTGTCGAAGGATGTTGACTTCCAGACAAAGTCGACCACGAAGTTGGATGTGCACTCTGATGGAACCCCGAGGTTGGTCTTCATCTCAATGCCCACCTCTTCGCTGTAGTCTGTGAGCCACAGGTCAAGAGGCAAAAAGCGGGACGCAAACCCCGCCCCCCGGACAACCGACCGACCTCCGTGGAGGGCACGCATTTTCGTCCGACTACAGAAGAATAAACGGCGTTTCGTTCTTCATTTCATCTACGAAATCTCAAATGTGCATAACGATTTCAGCGAAATTCTAAATATGGTACAAGAAAAAAAAAGTTATGATTTGTGACATGAATGGCTGCATATACATTGCAGATATTTGATGATTTCCTCTATATAGGCGTACTGATCATAAGCAGCTATACCACACATAAAACATTCGTGAAATGTATGACATAAGTTTATTTCTCGAAAGTGTTGTTTATTCTGGACTGTTTCGACATCACATGACAACTCAAAACAAAATTAAGTTTGTCCTTCATGCCAATAAGTTGTCTAATGTGAACTATTAAGCAGGGGAAAAATTAGCCATGCAAACGGGCACCATGCATCAGTTTTCATAGCAACTTGCGCGGATGCTGTGATGTAGACCTATGCCATGCCCCCACCTCACGGCGTTGAAGTAGAAATTTCCGCGTGGTGACGATTTCCTTAGCTCATGTGCACCCTGCTTGAGCCCCGTTGGGTGCACTTCTCACCAAGCACCGGCGTACTGCAGAGTAGCAAGCTCTGCAGGTGTTGCCTTCCTGCAGTGCACCAGTGCCTGGAAAGAAGTGCACTTGACTAACCGCGAGAACAAAAACTATTGATTATACGAACATGCCATTAAAATTAAGCGGCTTATGAGTACGTCAAAAACATTGCGGGACACCCAAAATTTTCCAATTTGTTTGGGTTACCCAGAAGTATGACATATCCGAGTTAGAATTATTGTGAGCCTACTGTACAAGCGTACTTCATTTATCTTTTTCCACCGAAAAGGATACTGTCTGGGATCTTGATGACGTGGCCAACCCCAGACCAGGGCTTGTGGAGTTCTCCAAGGTAACGCAGTCTCAGCTCGTCCCCATGCATCAGCCTCATATCTGCGAAGGATGGTCGTACGGCACGTAAGACGGAAAGGAAACAAAACAGAAGCAGTTAAAGAACTAAATGCCAACTCGCGTCACTCCTGGCATATCACCTTTTTATCGTGGCAGGAACCTACTTATTGCGCAATACTTCCACAATTAGCTCGGAAGAATTAGCCATTACCGGGTCCTTCATAGAGTCATCAGGCAAAACAAAATCTACGCAAGTCGTGTCAAACTGCGTACACAGACACGACCCTCCTGACTAGTAGGTGAAAGCTTCTGGCAAAAAAAACCCCAAATTTCGCATCGAAAATACCGAGGCGGTCGATCGAGTTTCATTTGGGCTTCGTACGTGCCGAACTAACGAAGAGCATCTGGCATACCCCAGCGAGGATCAATTTTTACCACCAGGGGGATCTTTCGATGCGCGAATGAAATCCTGGTTACGCAGCTGTTTCTTCACAACGAGCCCCCGTCAGAATGCGAGCACCTCGGCCCGGGGACCCATAGTCCGGCGCTTCGGCCTCAAAGCCGTCGGGGTGGCCGAACCGAGGTGGTCTACTGGAAGGAAACCTCGTCCCCCACTCACCAGTGTCTGATTTGGCCACCGTGAAGTAGGCGATCATCTTCTTGTTGAGGCCAATGTCCCAGCGCACCTCAATGTTGTCCTGGGTTTGCGACTCCTTGAGCTTCTTGTCGTAGTCTGCCTCCATCTTCACCAGAGGCCCAAAGATGTTCTGGTACTGGTAGCCGTCCTCGTACCTGCACACAGAAGCAAAAGGGGAACCTCCCTTAACCCCTTCGCTACCAAAGCCGGTGAACCGCCGGGCGTGCCGTTAGGGGCCATATTGCCAAAGCCAGTGATTCGCCAGCCTGCATGAATTTGTTTTAAAGAGCCATTCATAAATAGCCCGCTATGTAGACTTGGGGTAGTCTAGTTAGATACCTTGCCAACAGAAGGCGAGGGTCGTTCTGTTCGCTGCGTTTGTTTGAGCTTGTTTTTTTGCCTGTCGTCTTTCCTGCTCGATCGCTCCCTGCTTGGAGAAGATGGCAGCGTCCAGTGTACAGTGTGACCTCTCTCAGGATGAAATTATAAATATCCTCTTCGACAGCGATGATGACGGGATGTCTGGTGAGGATAGTGAGTTTTTGAAGCATACTGTCGACGACGGGAACGATTCCGACAGGAATTTTAAGTCTGAATCACGACAAGACTGCACTGGTTGTGAAACGCCTAAGTGACTGAGGATAGAGTGCTTCGAGATCTTTCATACGGGGAAGAATCTGTGAGAGCGTATTGATTTAAAGCAGATGTTCTCAAACTTTTTGGTCTCACGAAACCCCAGGAAGCCTCAAAAGCTGCCGCAAAACCCTCCCCCCCCCCCCCCCCCCCCCCCCCCTCCATATTTGCCGACCGAGAAGCAACAGATGTACAATTGTAGGCAATTTTGCTTTGTGTTGCTTCCCATATATCCCCACCACATCAATTGCGATGTCAGTACTAAGTGAGATGAAGGCTCTTTGCATGGTCCTGCTGCGCAGCCTGCGGCATGGGAGGGTTGCAATTTGGGTGTTTGCGGAACCCATGAGACCAGTTCGTGGAACCCGTGTTCCCCGGAACCCAGTTTGAGAACCCGATTTAAAGACTTGAACGAACCACTAAAGCATGTAAATAAACACGTTTTCTTGTTTTCTGCACAGAGCAGAGTTTTACAGTAAAAGCTTATTATACAAGCAAAACAGCCACACCTAGTGTGGTCCTGTTTTAGGGAAAAAAACATGCGGGACAGATGGCCCGGCAGCGCGTGACGTGCGTGGTAGCGAATGGGTTAAGGCCAGTTTGCAAATTTGTGTTCGAGTGAGATCGACCGTGTTTAAGCCTCCTATGACAAGAAAACACACATGCACTTAGTAGACGTTTCACCTCCAGCTCGCGCTCGTTGCCTTCTGCCGAGTTTTGGCTGCGTGTATGACGAAGTGTTGTCAAAAGCCCAAAGCTTGCACTCCGGGAAAAGCATCTACTGGGTTCTTAACTTGCCACCAATTATAGTTATATGCAGGTCGGAAAGTTTCCAGGGCCACACGGTAGATTGCTTCTGTGTGTTCTTGTCCTGAGCGGTTACAATGGACTCGAGCGGGCTTCGACGGAAACATGTAAGCCACTCTAGGACACGGCCGACTCTGGTGTCGGGCATTCCGCCACTTTGCGGCTACCGCCTTCTCCGAGAGGTCCCACCTGAGCAACACCTGCTGAGGTTCCTCGTCCACTCCGGGTTTCTCCAGGTCCTGGAAGCTTGCATCTACGTTGTCCTGCAATGCGGGACGAAAGGTCTTCAGTGTTTCTTTGGCATTCTTTTCGAGAGAAAAACCGGTTCGAGTCCCTCTCCGGAACGACTCCGGCTCAAATGTCACCCCACATTCCTCGAACTTGGAAGGTCACCAATTCACGCCGGACGCGCGACGCAAAAAAATATGTTTTTCTCTTTCCATTTCTATACGAAGAACTATTTTGGGCTGTTCGTTGAAACATCCTTCCTTTTTGTCTCCAACGAATCCAATATCCCTTCATTGTGGCAGGTCCCCCCTCCAGTCATCCTTCCTCAGACAAGCAACAAACAGGAAGAACACTAGTACTGTCCACTTGCTCAGCCTCTGAAAGGAACACTTAAAGGGACACTGACAGGGTATTTATGCTCGCCGAGGTTTTTAGTTGTACGTGACATATGAGAGCTCAACTACCCAGAACAGAATTTGCGGCTCGAAATTCGGTTTCTTTCCGCCCGAAAACCGCCGATCAAGAACTGGCCGGTTCGAGTCTCGCTCACTCTCTTTTTCGCGGTCACGGGCCATTTTCTAAGGTATCGATGCGACCACCAAATTTAATCAAAGTCGTGGGTCACTGAAGGCATACACCGAATATTAAAAATAGAAAAAAATATGAAACCCATTTTTTGTGGCTTCTAAAAAGCTGTAAATACGTTGTTTGAAAAAAAAACTTCCACAGACAACCGGAAGCATTCTGTGCGTTCGTCGTTTCGCGTATCGTGGGACTCGCGGGGACGGCGATGGTAGCGAACGACGGGCGTGGGACCTCTATTTCAGAACTGTCGTTCGCGGTACCGGCGAATTCTGTCTACCGTTAAAAGAGAAATTTGGGACTGATCAAAAGAATTGGTACTCATCCCGTACGACACGCCCGGCCACCAAGCCGATTTGCACGAAGACGTCGCCGAGCCGTCGCTCCCTTCTAGTGGCTGAAGACATCGCTCGCGCAAACGTCAAGCACGACGTGTCTACTTCGAGTTGAATATGCACGTGTACGATTTCTTTACTAGGTGCGAATGTCCCGAAAGCGTGGTGCTTTCCGACTTCGACCCGGGAGTGCTTTTGCTAGAGAAAAATCGACAGCAAACTTTCCAACTTACAGTTTACCAGCTGAATTATTACTAAGGAATGAGATTCACCAGAATAGAGATGCCCCAGTAGCTCAGTGGGAAAGACGTCCGGTTCACACGCGGTAGGACCGGGTTCGATCCCCCGTAAACCTTTTTTTTCTTTTTTTTCAAACGTTTTCCGATGTTTACATATCTTTTTCTTTTTTGCAATCATCACTGAAGAAACAAACAAAAAAATAACAAACAAATGTTGTGGACGATACTTCGCTGAATTAAATGATATGGGATTTCCGTTTTGACACCTGCGAACTCAATGTAATCCCTTTCCACAAAATGCAAGGAGCATATAAATCAGGTAGCGTCCGCTTTCCGAGGTGCCCGTATATGTTCTACAGGAGTTGCAGCCAGCCATTGGTCCCGATCCCGTTGATCCTTCGGAAACTCTGTCGCACAATGCCACTTTTTTTCGGACGCAGGACATGTGAGCCAGCTCTTCACGCAACATTTTGGGTGTATTCTTTTCGAAGCCGATCATGGAAATTCACCACGGGCACTCACTACTCATCTCCAACTCCTCAATGTACAAAATAACTCATCTTGGAGTACAGAACAACGAACGGAACAAACATAACTGCAAAAGAATAGCAAGGCGAGCAGTTCCCGCACGTCGCATCGCACGCCGCATGTCGTGTCGTCTGCTACGGAGAGGAGGAAAAAAAAAAAAAAAACATCGCACGGTCGGGTGTAGCCACGTGACTTCCGCCACTCACTCTCTTCTCTCCATTTCTCCGATCTCCGTCGGGTTTCGGTTTCGGTTTCGAGCAGTTGCGTCTTTTGGCTTTATTAAAAAAATACGCTACTCTGTTGCAAAATATTAATTGGGTAGTCCACCGACACCATAATAAAGCGCCTGGCAAAAAATAAAAAAAATTTTTGGGGGGTGTCAGTGTCCCTTTAATGGAGGAGAAAATTTTGCCAGGATAAATCTAGGCACAAGGTCATCCAATTTTTGGTGACATCAAGATCCAAGTTTCGAAAAATCCTTCCAAGACGTGGAAACAGTTAGGAGACATTTCTCATTACTACTTTTGACATTGTTTACTGCACTAAGTAGCAAGAAGCTAAGGGCACATATTTTCACTTACTTACACTTGTCCTTTTCAGCAGAGACATTAACCTTCAGGGATGCTATGTGTTCTCAAGAGAGCAAAACTCTTTGTCAACTTTCTTAATTGTTAATTACTCTATTAATTGTGAACAAGTGTGTTTTCATAAAATACAAAGATGTTAATTTTTTCCTTCCTTTCCTGTACATTATGATTGAAACGCTGATTGAAACGGAAGAGCGACGACGCCTGCCCGATCGGCGCTTTCATTTCTTCCGTCCCCTTCTCGCAGTTCGTAATTGAAACGCGGCTATCGAACGGTTGGAAACCCTCTTTTTGTTGAAGATTGCTAAAATTAAAAGTATGGTTTGGCTGCACTTGCTACTGCTTTTACAATGTATAGACATTTTCTGCCATGTTTATTTCTAAGGCTATTTAGAAAAACTGGGCAAAAGAATATGCCATAAACCTAAGAGTTTCTTTCAAAGTATAGGTAGGCAAATAAAACCCTTAGATTTGTGTTCAGCAGTCAAAGTGACACTAGCCATAGGAATTTCATCCAAATCGGATCAGAATTGACCGAGTATCTTCAAACTACAGGGTGTCCCTTTAAAGGGACAATGAAGGCAATTTTGGACATCTTTTTCTTTTTGGCAAATGAACTGGGTTCCAGGTACATCTCGGGCAACGTTGCCCAAATCTCAGCCAAAACCGGTGCTTGTGTGCCGCGCAAATCAATTAAACAGTTGCGGTAATAATCGTACCGGGATCGACTGGGGCGATGTCCCGAGTTGCGGGAGAAGCTAGGAGAAGCGGAGCTCACGTGACCGATGTGGGGCCAAGAAGCGCGACGTCACAAGAGACGCGTCAGCAATTGGTCGAAACGAGAGACGTGCCCTCGGTCACATTTTGGTTCGCGATTTTTAGAAATACTGTTCTAATTTCCGCTTGAATACCCATGAAAAGTATAAATCGGACCGGAAATGATTACTAAACCATAAATAAAGCAGCATAATTGTTTTTTTCTTTGCTACACTGGAACTCCGCGAAACGGCCAACGAGTAACTATGGGCACTTCGGCATGCGTGCCGCTCGTTATCGGCAGGGCGGTCTCCGTCGGGTGATGGCGGAGGCTGCCACACACACACTCCTGTTCCGTTTCTGTTGGGTCACTGAACAAAAGCTCGAACTCGCTCGCGAGAGCGGCACTGCCGTCCATGTTGACAGATTCTATGAAACGACCTCGCCACTGCGCTGCTATAACCCACCGCGGTAACCAGAGTCTCGATCTCCTAAATACTACCGATACCGACTATTCACACTTGACGTCACTCCCTACATCCCCTCCGTTTTCGGAGGCCCAGAAACGAGAATGGAGATTGTTCAGTTTCAGTTTCTTTACTTCTTTCGTAGGCACAAAAATATGTGTCACAAATATCTACAAAAATCGGGCAGCATGCTATGTTCCCCAGAGGCATAAAAACACCATTTAAAAAAATTAAATAAAATTATCTTCATTGTCCCTTTAAATCACCGATGCCGACAGTCACAAAATCGCAACACGCACTACTCCAATGCACCAGAAACACCTCACGCCATCTGTAGGTGGCGCAGTATACTTCATGCCATAAACAACTCTCTCCCGAAGGCAGCATTATTCGGCACATGGCCTGGTGGTTTTCAACCGTGATGTCGGTCAAACATAAGGTGAGATGTTATTTTAAAATTATTTCTAATATGCATGTCATCCTAACTATTTATCAGCTCTATTTCACATAAATTTGCAAGTTTCATCAGTTATAGTCTGCATAAAATTTGAGCTTTATACAGCTACATTTTACGTAAATTTGTCACTGAACGACATTTGGCATTCAGTGACATGTATGTCGCATTTTGGGTGACTGAAGAAAAAAAGCTACTGTTAGCCCGAGAGTTATTTTTATGGCAGATGATTTATAGACGCTTTACAGCAGCTGTGCATGGACGCCGCCATAACTGACCTTCAGTTTTTGTTTCCTCTTATTCCGTTTATTTCACTTCATCATTACCATAACAGGCCAGGTTATTGCCATATTAGCCTCAACTGTGTCCTTTTCTAAAGCATCGGCCTTTGTAGAGGATCGTCAACTACCGTTTCAGTTGCTCGGCATCTCGGTAAGACAAGAGAAGGTCAGCAATGGCTGCTGTAATTTGGCGCGTGTGTAAAGCGTCTATATGGGGCTGATCATCAAGCTCTCTTCAAACTAAGATCGACACAAAGAAACGATGGGGGCCCATAAAGCACATGCCTGACCGATACGACTGCACAGAGAGCATGGAACACTACCCAGTTGTGAAGGACGCAAGACCACAGTGCAAGGAACAGGATTCTACAGGACACACAGTGATAATGTGCAGCAAATAGAATGCTTTTCTTTGCTTGAACAAAAAGATTTCTAAATATTTCTACAAATTTCACGAGCCATGGAGCTTGAGCCTACATGCTTTCAAGGCTCTACTAATTTGTATTTAAAGGATAATAAGTGAACCCTTGTATCAGAGCTTCGAGACATTTTTTTGTACATTTATTTTTGAGAGAAAATTTAACTCTATGCAGGTTGCACTAAAGAAATAACTTATTTACCTTTTTGCCCGTTGCTGCGAACTCGCAACATAACCACATTTTATGATATGGTGCTTTTGCCATAATCGTCGAGGTGCCTATCCTTTTGAAATGCCCTAATCAGCAATTTCCAGGAAAAAAAAAAAAAAAAAAAAGAATTCCGAATGGAGTGATGAATAATTTTGGCATTAAATGTTATAATAATAGATGAAGGAATTAAGCTAATTTAAGATGAAGAATCAAACAAGTGAAACTTCCTTATTCCGAGTACTAGCAAAAAAAAAAAAAAAAAAACACCAAGCAATCTTTCTCTCTGCAATGGTCAGACGAAAACGCCAAAGAAAACAGCTCACCTTCCAGAGCTCCTCGAGCCGAGAGATCTGCTGTGCGGTGACCTGACGTGCCCTTAGCTGGTCCCGCTCGTGGGGGGCCCTGACTAGCCAGGGCAAGAAGCAGCGGTCGTGGATGAGTGGCTTCCACTGGTCGGGGTCCCAGTTCATGTCCTTGAGGGAGGACTGGGCTGCACACGGGTGCCGGCAGAGCAGCACCACCACCGAGTCCGCCTTGGCCGGGATGAAGCCCAGCACGAACACGTTCCGGCAGGCGCACGAATAACACTCCAGCACTGTCTCCCCCAGGGGGCCGTCCCGGTGCAAGGTCACCTCCTTGTGCTTGGCTCGCACCAGGTGGTTCACCATGTGGCTGCAAGCAAGCGCATGTGAGGGGAAGGGTCAAACCCCAAAAAAGAGGCTCCGTTGCCTTGTTAATCCGTTGCCGGTTAGCAGACGATATTCAGGAGATGGTGCCGGGCATTACTGGCTTTTGGAGCTGCTTTCGCGTGTGCATCTATTCAGGAGACACTTTGTTCCCATGGTGACGGTCACTATAGCGGATGAACTTCATTGTGCAAAAGGTGATGGCGGTGTAGCGATATCACGAGGCGTACCCTGGCTCTTCTGCTGTGTGTTTCGATGGGCAGGACACAAATAAAAAAAGGTTGAAATGGGGACATTGAGTAGATGGCCGATTTTCTCCAGGGCCTAACATGTTTCCTATTATTTCACGAAAAGGGCATTCTCTTGACCACCCGGCAGTCGTTGCTTTTCCTGGAACTTAGGTCTAAAATATCATATCAAACTGTTGGGTCATAAAACTGAATTGATGAAATGCAGCGTGTTGCAAACGAATCACATTGATTTGAATCGCTCAGTTTCAAAAAGTAGCAAATGATTGGTCCCGTGTGAAGCAAGAGCAGTCACAGCAACAACTGCTACACTTTGTCGAACCCTACTGCGCCTTGGGCCATGTTCGGTACCTTCCATGGTGCAGCTATCACCAAATGTCTGCTCGGAGAGTGACAGAATAATTTATTTCAAGCACACACAATTCCTCTAACGGTTGCAATGTGAAACTCTGGTGGCGTGTTGCCACTTTACCGCAACCGTGCCATCTAGCGGGTGCTGCACGACTCGAGTGCATGGCTGGCTGTCCTCAACACTTGCGGTTTACAGGCACCGGCCGTTTTCTGGCGTTTTGACCGAACCGTTACTCACTTCCATAGAGTTAAGGGGGGACATAGGTCTTCGGAGCCAAATACTTCCTGAAACTGCATTGTTCTGAAAATGGCGATGTTGACCTCTACAGTTGTTGTTCTACTGAATCTACCAGGTGTCTAATTTCGTGGATGAATATTTGAGCTATATATCAATTTATAATGCCTACGTGCATTGAAGTCGACTCTGAAACATTGTTTTCACAAAACACAATTTTTCGACTTGTTGAAAATTTGCAGGAGGGAATTGTCGGAACAGATGATCAACTTCTCCAGTTTTACGTAACCAGTCTGAGACAGCAGTCACTTTGTTACTTTGTTTCACAAGGAAAAATCAGGGCTGTACGGTTGATGTCGGCGCACCTACCATAAGAATTGTTTCGACAAATCTCTGTGAAAATTGGAGTCTCACCACGTTGACCCAGACAGAAGCTTCGCAAGAAGGTTCTCACCTGCCGGAAGTGTTGCCTCGGCCATTACAGAACCACCGCTTGCACACATTGCACTGCACCACGCATCCGGGGTCGTGGATGCCGCAGTACCTGCAAACAAAGTTGACAAGGAGCCGTCAAACCCATCTGTCGACTTTGATCGGATCGCTTATGCAGCCAGTACCATTTTGCTTTAATGAATTGTGACTACAGTAATTCCTCGTTATAACCAAGTCACTGGTATGGCAAAAAAATTAGGTATAAGTGGCAACTCGATAAAAGCAATAGCGCCAAAAAACAGCGCCAGCAGCCTTGAAGTTGGACAAGAACACTGCGGAACACTCTGACCGTATATTTAATCAAACAAACCTTGGTTATGAACTTCTCGTGCCAGCTTTACCGAATAAAAAAATAATGAAGTGGAGTTTGCCACTAATTTCATACAGGCATCAGTTCTCCTAGAACTGTTCCAGGCATCGCAAGAACACTGTCACTGTCGCTGCACTCCATTTTGCTTTGAAGGAGCCGTAGGATGCTTCGCGTCTCCGCAGTCGTCGGCGTTTCCCAAGGTGCCTCTCTGACGTTGCTTCGTGTTTACCCTGGTCGCATGCAAGGTCTACGATTGCAGCATTTGTGGCAGGAGCAGCAACAGAAACGTCCGCATCAACAAGCACGAAGAAATTAAAGTTATTCTCGGTGGCTTCACCAACATATTTTCACACACTCCCGTAGAGATTGTTGAAACTCTGGAAATCGTGCGCCGGCTTGGCAAGCATGCTCGCAAGAGAAAATCCGACAAGTGTGAAGCAGTTGGCAATCTTTTATCTTTGGGTCACGGGCGCTTTCTCCTGCATGAGAAACTTCTCGAACCCGTCCAATATGCCTTGCTTGTTCTGTGAAATGGCGGACAGTGTCGAACAGCCAATGCTGTAATGTCGAATTCTTTGGACATTTCGGACTTGGGCCAGCCACTTTTAACAACCTTGCTGATCTAAGCGACTTTCGTTAAACACTCCAAATCTCCCATACAATAAACGTGTGCTTGTAGTACGCCGCAGGCATGCGCGTCGGGGGCTGCCAAAGGGATGAACTTCTCTGCGCTCCATCGCTCCCTTGACTAGATTCCGACAGGAGTCTGGCACTGTCGGCTGTGGGCGCCGTGACTTGTGTTGCAACGTTCACGCTGCTCTCTGCCCGCATCCCTGCGTCGCAGCATCCGCATCAGAAGCGGCGCTCTGCCAGCTCTGCGCGCTCTGCCCTTCGTCACCCGTTTACTTCGTTGTGCCGTTTGCTTTGGTGGAGAAAGGGGAGGTAACACAAGGATTTCTGTGCACCTCCGTGTAGGTTTGCGTGCTTTCGGCACAGCAGTCTTCGTCATAAGCGTGGTCGTCCACCGATACACCTCTAATAATCCAGTCTAAAATGCGTGCATTTCGGTCAAGACCACGTTGAGCTTCGATAAAAGCGATTTCGTTATAACGAGGGATTACTTTATATGGAGGCTTTAAGACTCGACAAGTTGCTCATGCCACAAATATGCGTCGTTCCAACTCTACGAGCAAGTTTGCATAACTTCAATCGTGTCACCAAAATTCTAAATAAAAAATGGTTAACAGTTCATCTTAAAATTCATGCCGGAGAAATTCTGCTAATAATATTTCTGTTTTGTCTCAGACTGATCAGCTTGTAAAGTGATGCAGCAAGTCGTCGGATTACATCATCACACCTAGATATACTCAAAGTCGACACATTGCATTGTGTTTATCACACCCAGCTTTGGACTTCGGCCAATTAGCTGCGGGAATTAGTCAACCAAAAAGAAAAAGCGAAAAACATTTTTTCTCGCATAGATTTTATTTGAAGAAGTAAAACAAATAGAAGGTGGGGGCACCCCCTCAAGTCTCCCACCATCTATCGAGTGACGTCACTGGGAGTATCTAATGTCACTGTATCCTGGCAATGTAGTGCCATGCCAAGCTCCACTACGGTCGCCATTTTGGTTCATTGAATGAGCAGTTTCTCCTTGGTGAGCTGATCTGAATTCGCTGGTGACGTGTAGCTCTAGAGGGAGGTTTCTTAAATCCCAAGATTTTGTTAGCACACATCGGCGAAACAAGCACATATCTTCTCACTGCCACCAGACACGGCAATGATGCTTGGCAGCATTAAAAAATAATTTTCTATCGTTGACTATGCAGTAACAACACCACCATTGTAAAAGATATGCGGAGATAAGCATGATTGACAAATGGATTGCATGCACAGCGCCAAAGCTGATTATACTGGTGAGGAACGCTTTCAGTTCGATGATGCTCAATAGCGACCTTGATGCAACTGGTTCAGAACGACCCTCATGAAGCTTCCAATAGACCAAAATGGCGACTGCCATGGCAACGGGGACTGATCAGCCAAGCACTTTGCGAGGTTTGGTCATCTGCATGTTGTTAACTGTTTGTGTCCGGTTAATCAGCAGGGAAGGCAATGGCACTACTTTCAAAGGATCCAGTGACTTTAGGAGTACCACCTAATCTCCCTTTCGGTTGTCTTCAAAGCTGCCCAGCAGCTCCTTCCACAACTATCAACATCTCAAGGATTAGCATCACCAAAGGTTGCAGCGAGCAATTAAGACAAAGGACGGATCGCCACGAGGCTGACGGTGAGTGTAGCAGCAACAGAAATAGAATGGTTTTGTCAACTTCCGCGTACTCCCAATGATGGAAAATTGCCGTTTCTGTAACTGCCACACGCAGCTGCAGATTCGCAAATGATGTGTCTTTTCTTTTGTGATTATGCAGCGGAATCGCAGCGTTTCAAGGGAAGGTGGCACATTTCCTCGCACTTGTTCCGAGATCAACAATATAAACTATACGAGATGCAAATCCTTTCAACATTAGATCATTGTACTGCCCGTTTAAAAGGGTCATTGGCAATTAGAGGCACCATTTAAATACTTTAAATATATTTTTGAGCGTTTAAGTTAGCAGGTTCTATTATAAACAGCTCGTTCCAACCAGTTTACCAGATACTACTCACGATAGGCACCTCACCCCCTCTATCAAGAAACCGTTCTATATTTTAACACATGCATTACCGGTTCAAACCCAGTCTCCAGCACGCGCTCATTAATTTCCGCCTTGCTTTGACTGGATGTGCTCAAAAAACCTCAAAGCGTTACAGAAGGTAGAAAATTTGCACTTGAGGCAGAGTTAGCAGCAAATTTTTTACTCATACCTACACAGTTGTGGAGGTGCCAGTACAATATTCATTTAAAACTCTCAGTGGTACATAGTGTACACACTTACATTTGTTACACGCACACAAAAGATGAAGGGATGTCCACTTGCCTTTGCTCTGGTTTCAAAATTTTACTTAAGACTGCTTTGCTATTTAAAAGACTTGCGAGACCGCAGCATCGTCGCCGGGCAATGTCACTATCACGTCCGAAAGAAATCGTTCAACCGTCAAGCAAACAAGCACACACTTGTTGGACGAGACATTTCCAGTGTCAAGTAGTACCGAAGCTTCTTAGGCATGCGGCATGGCGACACATGATTCCGTCGATACAACAACACCGACAACATGACAACACCATCCACAACCAAATACAAACGACGCAGCTACCACTAAGATTCAAGGAAGACGTCAAAGTAATAGAAAGCATTATTTTGATGCGGGGCGTCAAAATATCTTCAGAACTATTTACATGTTTTACGGAAGTGACGTCATTAATGTAAAAATTATTTTTAAGTTACTTTGACTATAGATAGTGAAATAGTCACTGCTTTTCTCACGACCTGGATGACTTTTACCCAAATAATCCAACAACTCATTGAATGCTCCCTTCCCTTTCCCCCCTCTCCCCTGGATGAAATGCAGAGGCGGTGCTCACTTGCACGCGTGGTCGGGGAGGTCCTTGCTGTAGTACTGGTCTTCCTCGTCCTCTTCAAAGGTGAGCTCGCCCAAGACTTGGCCCGTTGCGGCCACTGCGTCCAGTCCGTTGCCCAGAGAGACCTCGGAGTTGGGGCCTGGCAGCTGGACCGGCAAACAAAGGCATTTGTATCTCTCGTGGGAAAGACGCGCAAACATCGCCTGGCCTAGACATTTCAACAAATGCAACGAAGATACGACAGCAGTAATATGCAGTTCCCTACCCACCTCTCCGCTCCGCCAACTTCTTTAGATCTATCGGTCGGCAGGCTGTTGTCCGTGCGAGAGCCGGTATGGGCAGATAGCGATCCTAGCACAACCAGCAGCACCGCTCCCACGGGCAACAGTGAACGACCGTTTTTGAACTACACTCTTTTTGCGCAAACTTTATGTCCACCACAAATACAACAAAATCATTGTCCACCACAGGCCATGTGCCTCCAACATTCCAACATTTCTACCGCTTCTGTCCATATGGGCTGGGCTGATAGCGTAACGAGTGCCACTGAGCTGACGCACCACGAAAAGGCACCAGGTGTTCTAGGAAGCTTGACAAAAAACTTTATCTAATAATGTGGCTCCGCATGTTATTCCGTCAAATCAACAGCTGCACTCCGTTGCGGACTCTCTCCCATGGACTAGCTATGGGCGCGACCGACACCAACACGAACAAGCAAGATTTGTGAAGGGTTCCCCACATAAAGCCATCGCTTTAAAAACGCACAATGGAAGCAACCAGCCAACTGGACGGCCATTTCTCCTTTCTTCGTGAGATGGAGTTACACCCTGTTCGCCCAAATGCTAATGTTCCCTCTCTCCCCACACTGTCCTAGTAACAAGTTATTTGGTGAATAAATTATCGACACACTCCAAAGGTGCTGCTTCAATAATTCTTAATTGTCCGTCGGACTATCTTTTATTTGTGCACGAGTCCTATACATCTATGATAAATGCATTTACTCTGCATTTTGGGGGACCTTTCTAATGTACTTAAAGGGCCCATGAAACGATTTTTGGGTTGGGATAAATCATTTTAGATTGGGATTTTACTAATAGAACATCGTTCAGTGGGCCAAAAGCAAAAAGGTAGAAAGTCAAAAGCCTGACATTCAGTGCGAAAATTTGAAAACACAGCGGACTATTTCGTTCCTCCTCCCCTTCGTAACCGCTCTGCCTTTTCACTGGGATACATCCGCGGTCCCAAAAGCGTGTCATCGGGTCCAAACTGACGTCACACAAGACCGGACCTCATTTAGTCCCTTCACCCCTAAGCTGACATTGTGGTGGAAGCTACGCGCTTGCCGGACCAATCAGCCACCTTCGTTTCATCACCTGACTTCATTCTCTGCAGCCACATTTGCCACGCTTACGTGGCAAAAGTGTGGCTAGCCCAAGGAGCACGTAGCTTCCACAGCACTGTCAGCTTAGGGGTAAACGGGCTGGGGAAAGAAACTTTTGTCTGAGTTTTGAGCGACGGGCTAATCTTCTAGGGGGACAATGGCTCTGTCCGGGTACATAAACCAGATCCTGAGCAAGAGGGGCCTCCCTTCTTTTCGTCTTCTTGAACTGTTTGCTGGAATGCGCGATTTATGAGTTGAGGAGGAAAGCGAAACAGGAAAGAGTTGGAAAAGCGTTTCATGACCCCTTTAAGATTCCATAAAAAAGAAAGGGGGGGGGGGGGGGGGGGCTCCCTTTTTTCAAAAATAATTAGAACACAATCAACAAAATCTGCTAATTACAATTGATTGTATTTTGAAACGATGGTTGTATTTTTCATTCCAAACGGTCAATTCTAGCGTGAGCATTCTAAGAGCAGCCATCGGAAAGCGCGATGCATCTCGGGAAATCTGGCACCTCCAAAGCGTTTGTGACATCATGTTTACCTTCAGGGGCAAAGCTAGAAAAAGGCTGGCATGGTTGTGAGCTTCGCCACTTGCAGTGAAGTGATTGGTCCGAGTCATTTTGAAGCAGCTTTGAAGCAGCCGAAGTCTATTTTGGACCAGCAAAAATGACTTTTGGAACATTAGTGTACACATATTTTGCATTCATACTTCTGCAAAGATTATGCGAAGATTCATGTGTCAGCCTGCTCAACTAAAAGGCAGCGACTACTTTGCCTTCTCATAGAACCTTTCGCTAGCATCAATTGCAAGGAGAAGCGAGTCCCCCTCAAACACAGAACTAGCTGTTTGGTTGCATATATTTTCGGTTGCCTATCACAGTCTATCATATTATACACAAGCCGAAGTTTTATTCAGAAATTGTGTTCAGAAATTGACGGCATGGCTGGTACCCGGCACAGTAGCGTCGGAGCGTCCAGACACGCCCGCGTCTATCGTTGAAAATGTTTTTAAAAAAGATGCGAGACGCGAACCACGAGACGACGAAAGCGCGAAACGTAAAACGGCAAAAAAAAACAAAAAACATGCAAGAACATAACACACACATGCTCAATTACGGTACTCAGTTTAGTTTCGGTTTTGAAAGGCAACCGAAATTGGTGTTTTGGCGCAAGCTTGGCGCAGATCACCCATATTTTGGCAAAATGTAGCAGGATGTAGCAGGGTTAGCCACTCGGCGCAGTTTGGCGCAATTGGCGCAGCAATCACATCACTGTCATTGTGGTAGCAAACGTCGATTTCTCTCTTGGACAACAGCGCAATGTTGTAGTTTCGCAACACTGTAAAGCGGCAAACTGTTTCGTTCCATCCTCGCTGGCGTCTGCTCGTCATCTCCCTTGTGTGGATGCACTTGGGAGACGGACAAACCGGGGACACGTCATCACGTGATCAACCCACCTGCGGATCAGCCCGTCGTGTAAATCGGCCATTAGAAGTGCCAAGCAAGTAAAACTAACCCTGCTCTGCCACACTAAACAGCTTCGGAGAGTAGCTTTTAGCTGCCGTACCTTTCACCGATGCAGCTACGTCAACATTGGTTACATTTCTTAGGGAAGTCACTTACTAGCCACGCACAGTTATTTTGCACCATCTTTACTATCCTTTAATATATCCTGCGACACAGGTGTTATGTAAATGTCCACAAGATATGGAACTTGCCAGGAGTTCTATTGCCGCAACACTGCACAAGGGGCCATTTGTCACAGGTGAATAATGCTTTAATAAACGAAAAGAGTCGAGTAGCATGGTTACCGCAACAATGTCACCAAATGAAAATGACGTTTACAATAATTTTAAAAATGAGGAATCACTTCCTGCATTAGCAAAATTTGTGGTGTTAAAAACAGAAACATTGTGCTACATAAATTTCACAACCTGCATGATGAAGTTGGAAGCATTAGAAGTATACAAAGTAATTGGATTTACGCAAACTATTTAGATGACACGTAGTACTTTGCTTGATTGATTGATTTTGGGTTTTAATGGCGCAGCGGCTGCTAAGGCCATAGTGCGCCAGAACAATGGTAGAAGAAAACACTGCGGTGCTATTTAGTTAAAGGTGAGGCATGATATGAGAGTTTAAAATCTTTCATGAAATGCAGACAATACAAAGAAAATTCACTAACTTAAATGTGCTGTAATAGGCCAATACTGTTTAGGAAGTTAAAAACTTGGTTATGAGGAACAAGAGGCTCCTCTCCCAGCAAAAGGGCTGGGTGGAATGGGATCTGTTCTTTAAAAAACCGTGAAAAGTTGGTGCGACGCTCCTCATGATATTTCGGACATTGAATGAGAATGTGCAAGACGGAGAGTGTTTCATCACATTCTTCACACATTGGAGCATTCTCTGCTCGCAGAAGGAAGCCATGTGTGAGTTGAGTGTGACCAATTCTCAGGCGACAGAGAACAACTTCATAAAAGTGCTCGTTATGTCGGCAACTGGCCCACTCAGAAAGAAGAGGTTTCACAGAATGGAGCTTATTGTGGACTTCAGTGTCCCATTCCTCCTGCCACTTCTTTTTAATCGACTTTTTCAATGATGCCCTGTAATCTAGGTATGGGATGCAGGTAACCTCTGTGTCTATGTCCCGACATGTTCTAGCGGCTTTATCGGCCTCCTCATTTCCAACTATACCGACGTGGCTAGGGACCCAACAGAAAGTAATGGTGATGTTGGAGTTTGTGGCAGCTACAATCTTGTTACGTATTTGCAGAATAAAAGCATCTTTTGATCTATCTAGGGATGCAAGTGCACGGAGTGCACTGAGGGAATCTGAGACAATTATGGCAGCCTTGATATTTCTTTTGATGATAGTGTCCACAGCTACCAGTAGGGCATATGACTCTGCAGAAAAGATGGTGGCTTGGTTGCTGAGCCGCGTTACAATAGTGCATGACGGCCCGACTACAGCACATCCTACACTGTTGCTCCCCTTCGTTCCATCCGTGTAAAACTGTACAAAGTTTTTGTAGTTTTCAGAGATTTGGAAGAACTCTTGCCTAAGATCTTCTGCTGGTACATTCTTCTTGTCATACTTGGAAAGAGAAAAATTAATTGGAATAGGTGTGATGTTCCAGGGTGCAACTGGGCTGGGCAACACTGCTACCGGGCTCGATAAGTCTATTGCAAAATTCTTGGCCTCGGATTTAAGGCGCAGAGGAAAAGGAGGTATAACAGAAGGTTTGTTCTGGTACGTCCTTTCATACCGCGTGTCCAGAAACACTTCGAGTGCAGGATGCTGAGGCATAGAGCGAACTCTTAAATGATATTGAAAGCCCAAGAACAGACGTCTTTTTCCGAGAGAGTATTCATTAGATTCAGCGTAGAGACTGGGAACTGGAGAGGTCCGGAAAGCCCCCGTTGCAAGTCGTAGTCCCAGGTGGTGGACAGGATCCAAGATCCGAAGAAGAGACGGCCGTGCCGAGCCGTACACCATGCAACCGTAATCTAATTTCGATCGAACAAGGCACTGATACAAACGCAGCAGGCACCTTCTGTCACTACCCCAGGACTTGTGCGAAAGAACTTTTAAAATATTCAATGCTAGCAGGCATTTCTTTTTTAGTTGCAAGATGCGACTACGGAAGCTAAGTTTCTTATCAAAAATAACCCCTAAAAATTTATGCTCAGGATGTACGTTTAGGGTCTGACCTCCCAAAGTTAGAGTGGGTTCTGTAATGATACCCCTTCGAAGAGAAAACAGA